GATGTCATTTACATCAACCCCTGATTGAGATTTCTGAATTGATTCCTTATCAAAATTATTTACAGAAATTTATTTTTCCAAAAACTTTCAGCATTTTGTATATTCTAAGAATTTGTTGCTTTTTTAGTATATGATAAACATGAAAGCAATAAAAATTAATTGGAATTTTTATTCTCTTCATAATTTACATGGTCATATTGTAGTTAAAATAAACTAGAAGTATTCTTCTCGAGGATTTGCTGACAAATTGTATAGGTTCTGAAATCTTTTAAAGAATAATTTTCTGCTTATGAGGTGATTTTCTTCTTTTCCTCCTTCCTCGAAAGTAATAACATTTGACCATCCACATTTTCCCAAATAAACCATATAAATTGGCTTCGAACGGGCAAAATCGTTAAACTCTTCCAGTTGTTCGTCAGTGACATGTATGGCAATTCTTTCAGGAAGATAGATTCTAAAATTGTCCGATTCCATTAGAACTCTCTCACCGTAAAATGTTTCGGCTCTCGCCAAATGTTTAACAACGTAACGCGTATTCATATCAATATGTGAAAAATTGTATAATGGTTTATATTGTGCAGCTTCATTCAATTCTTTTAAAATAAGCACATCATTACAGGAAGCCATTTTGTCAACTGGGCGTTAAGACACCAATTCTAACACTAGCACGACTGAATACCTAGTAGCAGTAATCGAATAAACACGCTCTGACTTGCTACAAAACATTAACACTTGTTATTTGTTAAAAATCAGCGGAATCTGTTATCTAACCACAAAAATACGTTTCGTACGAAAGTTTGCTTATTAGAAATCCTTTCGGTAATTTTCGACTTGTCAGCAAGTATGGTCAGGTTTAATGAAAGATAGAATCATTAATTTTTTTATACATACGTATATGTGTATTGGTAATATGTATCTAATCGTAAATGTAAATTATAAGACAGATCGCATCAAATTAAATCTGACATATAATAAAGGCAATAAAAATGCAACCAATAAATAAACGATTTATTAAAATATTATTTTATAAACATTATTAATTAGCCCTCTTATTTTCATATGCCATTTGCGTTTTTATAATATATTGGTACCTTCCCCAGAATAATTCATTATCGTCTTCATGTTCAAAGCGAATTAGGTTAGCATTTCCGCATTTTCCCAAAAACACCATGTACAACGAAGCTGTTTTGGCTAGGGCGTTTGCATTATTCAGCTGCTCGTCGTTTAGAATTAGCATTTTCTTGGGGAGAAAAATTCGAAAATCTTCAGATTCCATTAACAGTGCAGGCCCAAATTCAGTTTCATCCACTCTTGATAACCTTTTCACGATATATCTTCTGTTCAGATTAATGTTGTCAAAATTGTATAGCGGCTTGTATCTTGCTGCTTCATTCACTTCGTTCAATATCTGTTCAAAGTTACAAAACAGAATGTTGTAAACGTCAATAAGTGTACACTGAGGGTTTATTTTTATTCTGATTGAAATTGATTTTTAAAATCAAGTCATGGGAATGGTTGAAGTATTTTGGCGCCAACATATTTTATTACCGTAATTATTACACATTACATTTATTTTTTTTGTTTTATATTAGTTAACATGCAGCGGGATGCACAAAAAAAAACAAATAAAATACGTAAGATTCTGTTTCGTTTTCTTTTTTCATTTAATAAAATTTGAGAATAATTTTCAGTTTCTGTCGATTGTCAGATTTCACATTACTCACAGAATAAGTCACTGTTTGATCCTCAGGTTCAAATTTAATTGTGTTGGACCATCCTTCCTTTCCCAAATAAATCATATAAGTGGGCGACACTATAACGTGAGCGTTAAATTCTTCTATATTTTGGTCATCCAACGCAGAATCCATCCTGACTGGAAGGCATATTTGAAAATCGTCCGATTCCATTAAAATTCTGCTGCCGTATTTGGTTTGCGTTCGATTAAATTGCTTCACACGGTATTTAACATTTTTATCCAAACCATCAAAGTTACAAAACGGTTTCACTTTGGCAGCTTCGTTTAACTCGCATAATAAGTTATTTTCCATACCGAATTTAGAGGACATTTTCCCTTTTTAAGGATTTAGGCAAACACACACGTACCACGAGCATAGATGCACAGTAACTAGTGAACAGATAACAAAAAAACAAATTGCAACTAATATTTTCCACCCCACCTAATTAGTGATCTTCGAAATACATAACAGGAAATAGACTTGCCACACGCAGTTAAAAATACAATGAATATATTGTTAGGTGCATGATATCGTCAAGGTGACAATTATATGTTTTTTTTGTATCTTAAGATTGAATCAACCAGATAAACACACACCACTAATTCACACAAGATGAAAATGAAGGAAAAACTGCTTGAAGACATGCAACCACAGAAACATTTGTGTAATTATAAACAAACGATATTGCTAGTAAAGTAGCTTAATTTGTTAATGTGTGTGAAAAACAATTTCGATTCAGAGTTTTTCTTAAAGCATAAAGGCTTGTATAACTTTACTTAACGCGATGCATAAACTGCTATATACGTTGTTCGGCAGTATTTTACTTTTTTTATGATTATTACTTTTAATTCCTAAATGTAGTAATAAGTAAAATTTAACTAATATTTATTTTCAAATATTCCAATTTTTTCCTCTTTCATTTTTTGAAGCAAAAGAAGTACGTTTTTTAAGCTAAACAAACTAACCCTCAGCTTTGAATGTGTATGTATTTTAACGGCAATGATTCTAAGAATTTCACCCCCTTTAGAAATTTTTGTCGCCAAAGGAGAAAGTCAGAGTATCAGTTTTTACCAGTGTAAGGAAGTACCTTTTAGGAGAGTGACTTAGCTGTCCCAATTACCTATTAAGTTTACACTTTCGATAATTTACGAAAAAACACACGTCTATACATATTTTCCACTTAATTATTAAAGGAAACGTAAAATGTGTTTCGGTCGATTATAACAAAATTTTTAGAAAATCATTCTTATCAAAAGTCCCAAAAATTTTAAGCTTCTGATTTCGTCCATTCACACTTACGTAATTTAGTAACCATTGTGCTACAGGATTTCGTATGCAAGGTTGTTTTATATTGGTGTTATGGACCAAGTGATTTATAGGACATTATAAAAAATGCCCGCGCAATTTGAAATATGCCCAATGCGAGATGACAGTGTGATAACAACTGCAACAATAATCAAGTCGACCGGGCATTATTTATATAGCTTGTCATGTATGGGGCAGAACAAGTGGTAAATGTTTAGTTTAGCAGTCACACTTCCGATCTTATTTTGAATTTTTAGTATGTTGGAGAGGTGATTATGCCATCATTTTGATATATATATATGTTGGGCGCGCAAATGATAATGAAGTATAGTAGCATATCATAAAAAAACTTAAATTGACTTGACCTTACCATAATTTTCAATAATCAGACTCACAATTTCTACGAATAGGTTCAAAATCTTCCAGTCCCTGTGAATAAGTTATTTATCAGATTGTCCGAAAGCCACATGGCAACATTCATAATGCCGAGGTAAGGTCATAAATTAAAAAATAAGTGGCCGATTTTAGGTATCTAGGAAGTCAGATAAGTCAGGACGGAAGGAGTAGTAAGGATATAAAGTAGATAACGCAGAGTCGTCTCGCCTTCAATAAAAAGAAGTCACTTCTATGTTCGCGAACCGTTAATTTAGAAATACGAAAAATGTTGTTAAAGGTGTATGTTTGGAGTGCGGCGCTGTACGGGTGTGAAACATGGACAATGGGCGCAGTAGAAAAGAAAAGGTTAGAAGCGGTCGAAATGTGGTGTTATAGGCGAATGATGAGGATATCATGGATAGAGAAGGTTGGAAATGAAGAGGTAGTAGAAATAATAGGAGAACAGAGAACAGAACTCTATCAATAAAAAATAGGCGACATGGGCTAGTAGGACACCTTCTCAGGCATGAAGGTCTAGTCAGAGACAATCGAGGCAGAAACGGGAATCAGGAGGGGTAGAGGTAGACCTAGATTAGATTACTGTTCGCAAATAGTTAAGGATGTGGGTTGTTCTAGTTCTAGGGAAATTTAAAGCGAAGATTAGCTCAGGATAGGAAAGGGTGGAGGTGCGTGTCCAACCAGTCTCAGGACTGACGGCCTTATAATGGTGAGTTAATGTCGGTACGTATTAAAGAAATCACATTTTAATAGTTATCTCCGGATTTAAAACCAGTTTTCCGATAGGTATCGCCGCATCTCATTTGATTTCACCTCAGACGTATTAAACCGACAGGTCTGAATTACGCTTATGATTAAACAAGATCTTCCTAGGTCGGTGGCAGCCGCAGAATATTAATCATTTGTTTTTACTGCCAGGAAATAAAAGACATAAGTGTAAACGCCAGAGGTGCTACATACTATACAGAGTACATCTACGTACTTGGCAAGGAAATTGCCATTACCTATGTTTATCTTGCTAATACAACCAGGGGCCATTAGTAAGGTCAAACTCTTCTAGATGATGACTTTTGATAACAAGTAGAGTTGTACACATGCACCCTTTTTTTTAATATTACATTCTATTTTGTTAATTAATTCATTATTTTTATAAGAGCAAATATTTGCTTTCTTATATTGCCTTTTTCAATAAATTTAATTATTAATAAGTAAGGATTAATTTTTCTAATCGAATTAGAAGGTATAAGAGATATTAAAAAACTGTGAATCAGTCAAAATATTCTATTTTATTAACCTGGCGTCACGTGTCTCGCGTGTCGCGTGACGTTACATTTCTCGGTATTATACCATAGTAAATTTCCTTCTTACAGCCGATAAAGCAGTTTCACTTCAGAAATAAAAACACTACTCTTATCTCATACAATTAATAAGTTAATAAGCATTCCTCGATAACAAAAAGGTTTAAAAAGAGACGAAAAGTCGAACAGTTCAGTGTGATCAGTAATAATGGAGTTGTACTAGTATCTCCATTCGACGCTTGAAACTTTGTTTTAACAAAAAATAATTTTTAAAAATATAGTTTCCTTATCGTCGACGTAATTACATGTAGATAACATATGTTCACACTCTACCAGCAGTGTTGGTACCAGCCGTACCAGCTGTCCCCTCTGCTAAAATAGCTGACCATTTATTCACCGATTATACTCAAGACTGAAGTTAAGTCGTCATGTACTACGGCTTCAAAACTGTTTAAGCAGCCTACTTTCTCTATTATAACTTTTAAATTCCACCTGTTTTTAATGTTCATTAGAATCTAACGCGATATTGTTGCAGCAATGTCGAAAAATTGCCGCTAATGTGTGACATTCTATTTACCTACCAATAACCGACATGAGATTAAGTTAATACAGTAACAATTGAATAGCGTTTACTTTTATCGGATTGTTATTAAGTCCATAAAAAGATAATTTGAATTTAATTGCGTATTGTTCGGGAATCTGCGTCGATATTTTTTTCGCATTTTGTGATAAAAGTTGCTACGTCGAAGGCATGGATGTTACGGCTAGAAATAGTTCTACTAATTTTTCACTAACAGAAAATGGTAAGTGATTTTATTTTTATTTACTTTTTTTTACGCCCGTTTTGATTTTTTAATATAAGCGATAGCACTTGCAATAAGATACCTATGCTTTTAGAAAGTACAGGATTATTCACTTTTATAAACCGGTCTGTTAACAATGCTGCATAGGTAAAAGAAAAATTGTGACACAATTTTGAGTAAGTTGCAAAGTTGTGTTTTTTACTTCTTAATAGTTGAACTAATAATGAAATATATTTTTGCTGCGATCAAGCTTTTTTAACGTTACGTTCCAGTTAGAGAAAATTCAAGTTGAGAAAAAATTAAGTTTTGGCGTGAAACTTTCTAATTTTTGTCTCGATGACATCACTTATACGAACATCATTGTTGTCAAGCGCACCTCTAATTAACCCATACAATCTCAGATCACAATGTCGGATAATATAATTACAAACTTCGCTCGTGTTGTCTTTTCCTACCGTAATCACTTGATCGTAACAGAACAATTTTTCTACTGTTTTCCTTAATGTAATATTGAAGTTACGGTGATGGAAGTTCCACTTTAAAACCTTATTTATCAGTTCAGCTAATTTTTCCCAAGAAAATTAATAGAAAATTGAATAAAAGAAACACTTTATAATGCATAGCCAGCACTCGAATTTTAAGTAAGAGAAAAAGCGATATTCCAGTTACAGAGTTTGAAAATAATGTAAAATAATATGTATGTCAAGGGAACAGAAGTTCGAGTAAATATAACTTACTACAATTTTTCATGGAAAATGAAAATTTTCTATAGGAAATAAATTTTACATATTCTAGTCACGCGTCGTATTGCTCACACTGATAAATTTACTGTAACAGTATCTATTCTGCTAATTATAAGTGCTACTAAAGATAAACGAAAAAGTCATTTAAAAACGAATTGGCATTTGTCGTAATTATAAATATTTGTTGTGGTTTTACATTGTAACCAACACAAGAAAAAGTTTTAAATAAAATCGAATTCTCAGGGCCATGCGTTTCTCCACGATTCGTTAATTTACTTTTATTATTTTACAACAGTAAAACAAATATTCCTAATTATATACAAAGGTGATTATTATAAGGAACCTGAAAAAGCAAGAAAATTGTTCTGCTGTTACGTTTTTTAATTAAGTCCATTCCTTTCTTTCATAGTAAATCTATGATGTAAGGAATAATAAAATTACATTCACTAATTATTACATTTCTGTGTTATTGAGGTTAACGTAACTATGAGAATTATTAACTTAGAAAGTATTTATTAACAACATAAATCTAATTTTATTTTGCGGATTTTCAAATCATTTCAGCCTACGTATAAATAGTTACTAATGTTTTAACTTTTAACCAGGTTTATAAAAATAANGTTACATAATTTTTACATTATATTTACAGGTATTAATTTAATAGACATAATAAGGCGTATGTAACAAAAACATCAGATAACCAGATGCTATTGATTTTATCACATTTATGTCAGCATCAGATAAGCAATTTATTGTACTCATTATTTGTATAATTCATTCTAGGAAGTTTATTATAAACACTAGCCTGATCTCTCATTTTGTACTTAACGTAAAAAACATTGTAAATCTAAATATTGGCTTCAGCTGAAGGATTTGGATTAAGTCTCTAATGCTTTTAAAAAATAAGTTGATAATAATGTACCACATTAATGAATTACTTAAAATAATAGCCTTCTCTTTCAAGTGGTTTAAAATTAAATTTTGTTTAATGCAATAGATTCACCTCGAGTACAAAATGAGAACATTGTGTTGTAGCTTACATGCCTCTTTTACTTGTTTAATGACGGTTATTGCATTTATGTACTATCAGATAAAAATATTTACACTGATAATGATTCAAATAATGTTGCCTGTCACGTATTTCCTAATTTTCTTTTATACAAAAGTTAAGGTTAGTAAAATGGAAATTATCAACAATAAAATTTGGCAAGCACCTAGATACTTATTACTGATTACAAATGCATTTTTAATGCCTTTACTTGAGAAACAGTCCAACGAAACTCCTGGTTTCTTTTAACCTTAAAATATAATATGAAAATATGTATCTGAACGTTAGCTATAGAATATATAGTATTTATTTTTTTGGACTTTCTTCAGTTAAAGAATTAGAAGGCATTCATGGAATATCTTTTTGTCACTTTTTAAGCTTCTAATACCTTCAATAGCCAATGTGAGAAACATTCATTCACCATTTTATATGATGTTTTATCGGTGATACTAGCAAAACTTTTAAAGACAAAAATGTATTTTGCATTTTACAAACACAAAATACATTTGGAAAAGTATTTTAAATAAAATACAAAATGCTTTTCTCAAAAATGTATTTAAACGCAAAATAAAAACAGGTATTCTTTATTATGTATTTGCATTTTAAATGCAAGTATTTCAAATAAATCAGATACCTTATACTTGAAGTTCGAATGTTTTGGTTGAAATTGTAGGTGATCGACTTATTCAACGGTATTTCAATAATGAAAACTTACCCTTACGCTAGGTTCGAAACTTTTTGGAACAAGGGTAGTTTAGATATTGGATGCATGTATGGTAGTCATTTTCAGTTGTTCTTGTAAAAATTCAAAAATTATTAAAAGGTAAAATATTCTTATAATAATCCAGGAAATAATTCCTCCAAGTGTTTTCATAATAAACATCCAGTATAAAATAACACTTTAAACAATGTAGTGGTCTAATAATAGTTCTACATTGTAATGACTTGCTTTCTGTATTATTGCTGCTAATCATGTCTTACCAAATTAACAATTTTTAGATTGTACATTTAGAAATATAAACTAAAAAAAGTCGTGACTTATCTAGACTCACGTGGATTACGAATCATAACGGTTTTATCGATAATTTTGTACTATTATAACAAAAACGATTAGTTAAAATTTAATACTGATTTTGTGTATAACAAACCACAATGAACAAACGTATTTATTATGTTAAAAAATACTAATTAATTATTAATAAGATGAAATTTTGAAAAAAATGATTCGGTTACGTGAAATCGTTGTAATGGATGTTGCATGTATTTCTTGTTTGGTTTTAATGTGCAAAAATACATTATAAATGAAATTATAATCTTTANAATAATCCTTTTGAGCTTTAAAACTAAAAAAATTAAAACAAATAATTTAGGATTCCAATTTATAATTGAAAAGTATTTTTAGCAGAAAAGTAAATATAATTATTAAATGCCATTTCAATTGGTTTAACCTTTTTTATACGTCAAATTAGAAATGGTACAAACCAATAGTTGATTATTGCTCCTAAATAGAACTTGATTTATAAACACTGCATCATAATTCTGCTAAGTGCGCTAAACTACATAAACTAGGAACATCGTATAGTGATTCAGTGTAACGTAATTGTGCAACTGCAGATATATCTTTCACGGTATAATAAATTAATGATATTATTATAAAATACGGTATTACGGAACTTACTGTGCAATGAATTCAGTCATATGACTAAATTACATTTCTGAAAGCATTTAGCAACCTTATGGACAAGGTTGAACGATTAGAAAACTTATAAAATACTGAAATGTAACGCAAGTAGGTACCTATACGAGGGCAATGTACCTGTTCTAGGATATTACTTATGTACCTACGTTAAGGTGAAAATTTTAAATAAGAAGTATTTATGCATAGTTAATACGGACACTACAGTTTATTTAAACTAATTCAATAACGATATATAAAAAAGAGCTTCACAGGTTTGAATTAATTATCCGTGCCTGTTTGTACTTGTTTTTACGATGAAAATATTTGCAACCAAAAAAATTCGGGTAGATCAAAGATCTAATTATGTATTAAAATTCATTTGAAATTTTTGCCTGTTTATATGTACCCCCTTCGGCCGATCTAATGTGAATAGAGTTCTTTATCATCATAAAGTCGTCAGTCCTAAGGCGGGTTGGACACGAACTTCTCTCTTTCCTATCCTGAGCTAATGTTCGCATTTCCCTAAAACTGGAGCATCCCACATCCATAACTATTTGTGAATAGTAATCTAATGTAGGTTTCTCTACTCCTCTTAACTCCTGTTTCTGCTTCTAATATGCCTCTGATTAGCCCTTCATGCCTAAGAAGGTGTCCTGTCAACCTATCTCGTCTATTTCTAATTGGCCTCTAACATTTGTTCTCCTTCTCTTTCTATTACCTCCTCATTTCTAAATTTCTCAACGTTTCCGCCGCGCCCATTGACCATAGTTTGCACCCGTATAGCGCCGCGAACCAGACATACATTTTTAACAATTTTTTTCAAATTTCTAAATTAACCGTTCGCAAGTACAGAAGTGAAGTTCTTTAGAAACCACAAAATTCAACCTAAGGTGCCTATTTAAGTTTTTATTTTATTACACTTGACTCACTTAGCTTATAAGGCTAGGGGCGCCACTTAGCTATGAATTTCCATAAATCGGAATTTTTGTTTAATAAAAGCGGGGTTTATTTTATTATAGAGAAATAATGAAAGTTAATGTCCTAAAGAAATGTGTATTAACAAAAATAGAGTTTAGAGGGTGCTCTTGGTTTAGTTTTTAGTTTTAAGTTGTGTGTAGTGTTTTGTTCTTGTTAATTTTTTACACCCTATCGATGGAATGAATCTAGCAAGACAGACTTTTTTTATTATTTTGAGTGTAGTTATTCACTTTCAAGTAACAATTTAGTGGTATTTTCAGTTTAATTTTTAATGTATTTTCTGTATATAATCATGATCCTTTTAGTTTTACTTTACATTTTATTTCTAAAACTAATAGCCAGATAAAGACGATAATGTTTTATACCTACTCTTGTTTTGATAAAAGCCCTTTATAAAAATAATAACACTAATTAGGAGTGAAAAATTATGTATGGGTTTATAATAAACATTTGAAAAGTATTTCTTCTGTTTCAGATGACTTTCTGGAGAAAATTGTTGAAGTTTCCGAGGAGATAACTGCTAAAAACCTTGTTACTGTGATAGTTATTGCTGTTTCAGCTGTAGTCATAATAGGGCTTCTTTTTGTGATTGCAGTTTTTATAGATTGTAGACAACAGTAAGTAGCGGTTATCCTTTGTTCAATTATTTTAGAACACTCTTTATCGATGACTTAACTTTTCTTTCGTGGAAATTACATAAATAAATGACCAAATATGATAAATTTACATGAAAATATCGGTGAGAAGATGTTTTAAACAACCTTTTTGTAAAAGTCACCTCTGTGATTTTGACAGCCATTGATGGGAACCGATCGTAAATATTTGAAACCTCATTTATGAGAAGAGGTAGGACAGTACCCGAAGGGAAAGGAGGAGAGCTTTTACGCCCTATAACTTAACCTACCCTATCTATCCCGAATTATATTAGGTTAGGCATATAAGGTAGGCTAAGGGATGGTAGGTAAAAGTTCCTTTTTCCCTGGAGACATAACCTATTCCATATCATAGAGATGGACATTAAATGGGTACAGTTTTTGTTGCCGTATTTTTGCCATTAGTTCCGTTTAGTACGTACCTATAAACGATTTATTTTGAATCATTTTCAAGTTATTTTGAAAAAGCTATGATGCGAAAGTTTTGCTTTATTTCCAATTAATAAACCCATTACTTTCAAATTCCGAATAATAATATATTTAATTAAATTCTATAAAGAACAAAACTACTTACCTCCTTTTTCAGCATTTCTTCCCTTGAAAACCTACATAAAACACAATCTTCAATCTTTTGTACACTTTTATCATGTCTAATCATTAATTAAATGCACTATTAAGACACGGTTTATAATAACTAATTCTAACCACGAATTCAATAAACTTACACTTCTTTCGCGACTAATTTGACAGCTACACACTACGATTTTATGCCAAAGCTCAGGATTCTTTCAAAAAGCTGAACGTTTTCCTTTCACCAATTACAAGGTCACTTTGTCTGATAGTCTTATTTAGTCTTAGATAGACGAAATGATACAATACAGTGTTTTATAACGATATCTTCCTTTACAGAAAACAAGAGAAAACCAAATTGATGAAAAAGTTAACATCAAAGAAGATTTTAAAACTGCCAAAATTTGGAAGAGGTGTTTCAGAGGATAGAGAAGGTTTTGCTAATAAAATTGTCGTTGAAAATTCGACACCAGTGAATGTCTCTGTAATTGAAACGTAACTGTTTTAATTTTAAAAGTTGACAGAATTTAAAGATGTATTTATTTAAAATAGGTAAATGAAAAAGACTGAATTGTAGTACCTAAATTTTGTATACATGCAATTAGTATTTTTTCCATTATTGTATATAGGCGGTGTAATGTTTAGTAAAATATGGAATTGTAGAAAATATATTGTTTCTAAATGTGTTATTCTTATTTACCATAAATACGAAAAATCATTGATCTATAAACTTTGTACAAAGCTTTTATTTGCATTTAAACACACAAATCAACTGGATGTCTATAAGTTCTAGACAATTCATGTAATGTCTTTATTTTGAAAAATCACACGAAAATAAATATAATTATATTCCTTCATTTACCTTTTTCTTTTAATTTCCTATAAATGACGTAAAAAGGAGAAAAAACTGATTTTATTTCACCTTTAGATAATATATACCTACTAAAATCCAAAAACTATAGTTTTAACTTAAGTAGATCATGATAAAAGGTAAAGAAAACAACAATAGTATCATTTGTTTCTGGTGTTAGAACTATTTTAGCACATCAAGAAGTATATTAACCTCAATATCTAAGTAACGCTAATTTGGCTTATTTGACTTTGAAATTAGAAGACCTTCAAATTTCAATGTGCTCTAATAATTTTGAAGTAAATTCAAATTTACCTTCGAATAATTCATCGAAAATGACTGTTCTCCTTGTATATGACCTTAGTTTCCTAATCCACGCTGACTAGTGTTATTAACAATGCAAAACAGACATGTTTTCTTTAAAATACACTTTTAGTATTAACAGAAATATGGGAAATAACTTTTTTTATGGAAATTTTAAAATTATACAAACTTCTGGTTAACTCAGGGTAAAACTATGTCAAATTATAAAACTTACCTTTCATATGCATCCACCAGTATAGGGACTCAATTTTAATAAAAAGTCCAATAAATTGTATTGTTGAGTGGACATGGTGTGATCTTCAGTTTAACTAAATAGAAATTGTGGTCAATCGTTTATTGTTTCAAAAGTATAGGTACCTATAGATATTTGTAGGAGATAAAACGATATCAGCATTTGCCTAGGACCATAGCTAAGAGGGCCATCCTGACGTACATTCCTCTTTCAGCTTGGCGGAAATAAGCAGCTCTGGGATCGGTATCAAATTCAGGACTAATTTCAAATACTCTAGGCAACGGATGAAGCACCACCATTCTCCTCTTGGCTCTGGTCATTATTTGGGGTGTTACAACAAAATGACCGCAAGCCTTAAACGAAAATTGTCATTTAATTAAGATTTTGTCTCAGTAATTGTTTTATTAAACTTTAAACACTATGCTCGCGAACGATTAATTTAGAAATTCGAAAAAGATTGTTAAAGGTGTATGTTCGGAGCGCGGCGTTGTACGGGTGCGAAACATGGCCAGTGGGCGCGGCGAAAAGAAAAGGTTAGAAGCGTTCGAAATGTGGTGTTATAGGCGGATGATGTGGATATCGTGGGTAGAAAAGGTTAGAAATGAAGAGGTATTGGAAAGAATAGGAGAACAGAGGACTCTATGGAAGTCAATAAAAAATAGTCGAGATAGGCTGGTAGGACACCTTCTCAGGCGTGAAGGTCTAGTCAGAGACATATTAGAGGCAGAAACAGGAGTTAAGAGGAGTAGAGGTAGACCTAAATTAGATTACTGTTTGAAAATAGTTAAGGATGTGGGTTGTTCTAGTTTTAAGGAAATGCAAATATTAGCTTAGGATAGGAAGGAGCGAAGGTGCGTGTCCAACCAGTCTTAGGACTGACGACTTTATGATGATTTCAAACATTAAAAAATGATAACCATATACGTATGTACAATAGTGTTTTCAATTATTTTATTGTTTGTTGTAATTTGTTATTGAGGTAAGTATCTTAACCAGAAGATTTCTTTTGTTTTACTTCTGGTTATTATCAAAAAACGGTGTAGAATTTCTAAAGATGCCCCACATTGTTTTAGGATGATCCTATTGAAATTAGAAATTACAGAAAATAAAATTGTTTTGATTATAGTCAAAAAGGATCGGATAATGTGTCCATTACTTAAAATAAAATAATTAATTGTATCCTTTATTTGTATTTTCGAATTATCTCTGTTTTGTACTTGTGTACTTGGAAATTCACGCGGATACACTTGAAAACATTTTTAAGTAGGTAGACGAATGAGCAGGTATTTTAAAGATAAAATTTTACCAAGGAGCAGGTAATGATAAAATTATTCCATATTATTTAACAATTTGGTCATATTTATTTATAAATCAGCAATATATTGCAAACGAATTTAAGCGTAAGCTTACACGCCTGGTATCCTCAATACAATTATCATTTGTTAAAGGGATTTCTGGTCGTTGTCTTCAGAAATTATTTCCAGACTAGGAAGTCCGAAAACAAATAATAATTATACAAACGAAAGTAAAAGGAATTAGTTCTAATATTTTGTTTTAAAGTAATGTGAGGATTTTTCTCTATTAATACCGGAAGTCCACCAATAACCTATTGATCTAGATCTAAAGTATAAATCATTTTTTTGTAATTGCTACTGCGAAGTAAATTTTTTTGCTAAAAAAACCCTTATTAATCTTTTAAGTAATGTGAGACAGTAATTTCTATACTTTACTTATCTTATTGTCGGATTTATTTTTAGTAGATACCATTAATAAGCAATTAGATTATTTTTCGCACTGTTGGTTTTTAATCACATTTTGTTATTGTGTACCTACTTACAATTTATTTTCGATAAAATTGCTATCATTATCTACAGTTAAGTATTAATAAGGCTACCAGATTTTAAAGTTTAATTGGTTAGTCGCGAGACGATATAATAAAAAAGGATTACTTACTTCTTCGTACTCTTTCTCTGATGCGAATCGTTCCCTTTGAATTCTTGTCATGTATAAGACGTCAGTTTCTGGTAAAACTTGTTCTAAACTACCGGCTTCTTCTTGTGGAATTCCTCTGGAAGCAACAAACTCGACAACTTGCTGGGGCATCTTCAGATTAGGAGGGCTGACGTATTTAATTTGCACATTGTACAACGTCAAAAGTCGTGCCAGAGAATGAGTTGTTCTGCCATTTTTTAAATCTCCCACTAAAGTTATAGTCAACCCGTTGACGGTGCCGATTTCTTCCCGAATAGAAAATACATCTAACAAGGCCTGCGTTGGATGCTCTCCTGTTCCATCTCCCGCGTTTATCAGAGCTTTTCGACAATGTTGAGAAGCTTTCTAGAATTATAAGCAATAATTTACTAATGCTTCTTTAAATTTTCATTACGACATTGAACTTACAACTACTGATCCTGGAGCAGGATGCCTTAAAACTACAACATCTGCATATCCTGCCATAACTGCTATAGAATCTTCTAGAGTTTCGCCTTTCTTGACTGAAGAACTCGTTTCGTCCATGTAAATTACACTTCCTCCAAGCCTCTGCATTGCAGCAGCAAAACTGCAACTCGTTCTTGTGCTTACTTCGTAAAATATCGATGCCATTATTTTTCCTTTTAAAATATGATCCAATGGTTTGTCTTTCAATACGCAATTTCTGAACCATTGTGCGAGGTTGAAAATGCTATTGAGTTGTTCCTTGTTAAACATATCCACGGAAATAATATGTTTCGATGATAGAACTTGAGAAAACGATGGGGGTTGATGTATGTCATAAACCAGATTTGGATTGCTCTCGCTCTTCATTCTGGAAAGAGTGCCAAACTGGAAAGGCGTTGGAGAAATAGATTTTGAACGATGGAAGTGATCGAGGGAGAACTGAACTTTCGGTGGTTCTGATAGAAGTTTAGAAAATATTTCGTTGGTTTGTCCGTCGGTATCATATTCGATGGTTCTTTCGAAAGTGGGCGATAAGGGTCGCTCTAAACTCGATGGTGGTCTACTTTCAACAGTACAATGCCCTACAACGACTGGAGGTTTTTTGAATTGCGTGTCTCTAACGTTTTGGCCAAAGCCAGGTTGGGCCAAGACTTGCCCTTCAACATATACGACTTCACCACGAAGTACTACCCGATGAATATAGCCTTTTACTTTGCGTCCGGCGAATGGTGTCCATTTCGCTTTACTATATTTTGTTGCTTCTGGTATTGTCCATTCTTCGTCCATATAGACTTCGACGTATGTGTTTGGCTGATCGGGCAGGTTAAAGATTTTCTTAGGATTCTTATGGAATTTGTTGATAACATCGTCCAACGTAAGTCTTCCTTCGTTTACAGCGTTTAAAAGGAGAGGTAATATTGTTTCTAATCCAGGGTAACCTGGAGGGTGTTTTTCACTGTTTTTCTCATCTAAAGTGTGCGGCGCGTGATCGGTAGCAAAACAATCTATGATGTGAAGATTGTCCCACAACGCTTGCTGGTCTTCTGGTGTAGCCAACTGAGGTCGCACTTGACATTTGTTGTGTCCAATTTTTGGTATATCGTTTGTAGAAAGGAACAAGTGATGCGGACACACCTCACAGGTAACCTTATGGCCTTTTTCTTTTGCCGCTTTTATTATTAAGATTTCTTCTTTAGTGGCAACGTGACAAATGTGAATCGGTCTATTATAAATACTGGCTAAAAATAGAACAGCTGCCGTTGTTTGTCCTTCGGCATGGACGCATAGCGGCGCCTTCTTGGGCCAGCTACTTAGATGCTGACTCCAATGGGTCAACTGGGAAAGTTTAAGTGTCGTGAACGTTTCGTTCAGGTACATCTTCAATGCAGCGGCTTGTGGTGCCAACTCGCCAATAGAATTAGCGTTTGATGCCGAAGCTCCAACATACAATGCATAGTCGCATCGTGCTTTCTCCTTTGCTAACTGTTGCACCAACTGGAAGGACTCTTCGTCGACTATTGCTGGATTTGTATTGGGCATGGCGCATATGAGTGTTATGCCACCTGCAAGGGCTGCTGCCGTACATGACGAAAAGTCTTCTTTATGAGTGGCGCCTGGTTCACGAGCGTGCACATGCACATCAATGAAACCTGGTAGTGTTATCAACTGTCTTGATGTCATACAGTCGATATCAGTTTTGACGGGAGGTGGCCTTTTGATTAATCTTAACGCCTAAAGGCAAATGTTTTGATTAAGTAACAAATACGTATGGGTTGTCAAAATGAAAAGATACTAAGTATCTGTGTTATCTATCAATTTTATAGCATACTTGATTTTAAATGAAAACGAAAAATTATTGCGCTTACGTCCACTAATAGTTTGGCGCATTTCACGTCTGTTACTAAAGGAATCGAGTAATCGATTGCGAGTCTTCTAGTGCGATATCCATGGGTCATAAATGACGAAACCCTTCTAGCTCCTCCATTTCGCATGGGAAGGTTTATTACTAGATCAACTTGATTTTTCGAAAGAAACTCTGCAAGCGGTATCAGCTCTCCTTGTGTTGAAAAGTTGTCGATATTTTCGAATGTCCATTGAACAGACTCAACCTAAAAGTAGGCAATTGAAGTATCCGGCTGTAATATCAAAATTACAGCCTTTTCTTAAATTCATATGGTTATTTGTATATGTATGAGTATTATATATGTATTTGCTGCTACCCGCCCCGGCTTTGCACGGGTAATAACTGTTATTTTCCTTGCTAGCGTGCGATCGCTGCTAATCATAAAGTGCTATAGCTACCCCCGCAACCGCTACGTCCCTGCATTATATATCTGTAATATCTTCGAAAATATTCATTTAAATTACATGCTGTAAAGGGCCATATTGATCTGTATTAAATGCACAATGTATTTAAGGCACTTAATTAGCTAAAGATTAATGCTGTATTGCTTAAAATCGCTTCGTAAATAAGCCATTATTTCTCGTAAAAAGTAAACGATAAAAAATGGTTATTGTGGGTTATCCCTAAGAGATAGACATATACCATCCCGGACTTTTTTGTAGACCTTTTTAAGATGTACAATATTGTAGTATATTCTTTTGATCTATCTCGTAGGGTTCAGCCAGCGTTTGCAATGTAAGCGCAAAAAAAATGTGTTTATTTACGGCATCACATTAGAAACCTCTAAAATGATCAGTGTTTCTCTACTATATTATACATGTATTATACATATAAACCTTCCTTTTGAATTACTCTATCTATTAAAAAAAACCGCATCAAAATTCGTTGCGTAGTTTTAAAGATCTAAGCTTACATAGGGACAAACAGCGGCAAGCGACTTTGTTTTATACTATGTACTAATAATGCAGTGAAAACTTATGGTAGTAATACGCTCCTTTAAAAACTGCCACTGCAGCTGATTTTTCCGAAGAAAATTAATAGAAGTTAGAATTAAAGAGGTAATTTATAATGTAAAAGCCGCATTAGAACTTCGGGTAAGAGAAACGGAGATATTCAAGTTACGGAGTTTGGAATAATGTAAAACAATGTGTATGTCAAGTGTACAAAAAAATATTCCGATTTCGAGTTACATAATTTTTACATTATATTTACAGGTATTAATTTAATAGACATAATAAGGCGTATGTAACAAAAACATCAGATAACCAGATGCTATTGATTTTATCACATTTATGTCAGCATCAGATAAGCAATTTATTGTACTCATTATTTATTTAATAGTTGGTTAATGCAGTATGTGCATATAGTACTTAAAATTTTATACAATACTTATTTCGGAGTAAAATACATTTAAAAAGGGTAATGGAGGTAGAACCTCTTTTACATTTAATCATACAAATAAAACTTTAATCTATTATTTTATCTCATTTTATCGATAATAATTAACCAGTAGCCTAACAGAAGTTATAAACAATGGTGTTATTGTTTTCCTTTTGGATAATCAAAAAGTCGTAAATAAAAACGAATTTTACGTTTTGTTTTTAACTGAAAAAGAATGAGCAATTTGTTATTTCTCATAAGCTTTTAACAAATTGGTAACCAAATCTAAGCTGCTATATATTTAATGTTGTTTTTTACGGAGATCATATAACCGAATTGTATGCAAAAATATCACTACAGTTTTTGTCTCCGGAGATACTACAGATGGGTAGTAAAGGGTGGACCTGGAACGGTCAAAGCTCATTTATTGAAAGTTCTGACTCTTGCGCAAGTTTACTGTGATGACCTAAACCTTCAAGCTACAATATGAGAAGTTTTCAGGAAGTTACCGTCATTCAAAATACGTACCTACAGTTTTGCTATTTTTTCGAGAACTTTGTTTTGTTTAAAAGGGAGGAATGCTGATAACCTGGCAACATTTGGTAAATTCCATTCGCATTTTCAGGTAATATAATGTTTGTAGAGAAAGGAAACAAAAGAAGAGAATAATTGAAAAATGTATTATCAGTCTCTGATTTCAGCGAAGAGTCGTTATCACCAACAAACAAGAGGCTACTGCATTTAAACGTTTCAAGTTGTTTACTATTTCGATAACAATTTCAGATATTTTGCGATAAATAGTGTCATTCGCACACAATTACCTCAGTTATTTATCTGAAGCGTTACAGAAAGGTGCACTCGATTCGGGATGAAGTTTTCCGCGTTCTTATTCAATCGTATCGAACAGTAACATCAGTTATTTAAATCAAATGTTTCAAATTCTATGATGGGTATATGTTATTGCACTGAAAAGTTTAACAAAGACGACAAAAACCATAAGCCGGAAAATCCAGTTATAGAAATGAAAGATCCTCAGCTAAGAGTTGATTCGGAAGCTGAATACGATGAAAAGTTTGTGGAGAAATTAAGAACCGAATTTAGAAACGATATAGAAGGGTTTTTATTAAACCATATTCTTATGTCTGTGCTGTTTTTCGAAAATTATGAAAAGTGAGTACCTACAGATTTAAAAATTGATATTGTTTGCACTTGGAGCCTTTAAAGAAAAATAAAATACTAGTTAACGTAATACACTTATATCATATTCTTTTAACAATTCATATATTTGAATGAACCTCTTTTTTTTTAACTCTTTGGCTATTTTAAATATAATAGCACGTAAAGATGTAAAATAAACAATCTTCCGCAAATAGTATCACTTTGATCTATACCTGGGTTTCTTTAGGATTATTGAATTAGTTTATTAATAAAACATAAAGTAATTATTTGTTAAAAATTAGAAAATAAGAACGCTCTCAGTACTGTCCTACAATTGGTGTCTCCAAACAAAACACAACTACATAGAAGTTACATTTATCACATAAGCAAACAAGGCTGGGACAATTTAAAATTTTCATTTTCTTTGAGTATTTGTTAACAGTTACGTAAAAATTATTGGAATAGGCCGCTATGTATGTAGCATTACAAACAGAAAACAATAACTTCCCAAATTAAAATTTCGTATCATGAAACATGAAGGTGGTAGATATAGAAAGAAAAATTCACATTTTAACTTTAGCTTTTAGGCAAGAAATAATACAACCAAATAAATTGGCTTACTTACTTCAAAGATACAAATCCTTGTAGCAATAAAGTTACACCTAGTTTTTATTATCTAGGGATAAGTTACAAATTGTTGTCATAAAATTCATAGTATTTGTTATCGAATATTATTAAAAACGTCAACCGAATGTATCATAATAACCTTTGATTTTGTTAAATTTAAAAGAGGAGGTACCATCTCAATATTATCAATTCCAGGGGTTTTCATTCTATATCAGTTGATAAGGCCTACCTGATATTAAAAAAAGTAAAAAGAATAAAAGTCTAAAATTAATAATAAAATAATAATGTGTTGAACAAATTACCTACAGAAAATAAGTTGGATTTTCATCAAACATGTATCTTATCTGTACTAATGACTTAAAGTTTGGATTTATAACATCAGATAAATATTTTGTCACTGATTGTGAGTGTAACTACGAAATTCATTTGCAACGGGGCATTCATTCTTCAAAGTTCATTTGAGTCAAAGTCAGTTCTTGATGTTGAGGGTGAAGATTTGAAGTTTTTACCCAGCAGTTTCGCTACATTTCTCAAAACGATATGGGAAATTTGTGAGTAAAAACATCAGTTTTATGTGTTTGGAAATAAAATTTGTGGAAACGTTATTAAAAACGTCAAGTTTAAGTTATTTGAACTCTTAGCAACTAGTTGCTGGGTATCGAGATAATATAAACACATTTGGATAAAGTCGTGAGTATCGCAAAGTGATTGATTGAAGTAAATTTTTTAATTCTCATTTTGTTAAAATTTTTTGAATGGATATTTTTCTAAATTTTTTTATAAGTGACGACATACATACATACTTGCGGACTAAATTCCTGAGAATGTTGAACTTTCTTTAAAGTACGATGCTTAAATTCTGCTTGTCTGCATCTCTTTCTTACATATCAATTGGTGATTGATGTAATATTATTGTTTTCTCTTTATTAGTGTCCGCTGCAATTCGTATTTGACATCTCTTTTCTATGTTTACGATATTTCCTATGACGTCTGTACTGAGTAAAAGTAGGCGTTCTGTTAGCAACCGCTCTAGTCTAGCTAGTAAATTGAAAGAAGAAAGTAAATGCGACAGTTTTATTACAGACTATGCCACTTTTGAACGTTCCAGCTATAGTTTCTGTTTTTCTTCTGATAATACCGAAACTGATCGCAGCGGACCGTTGCGTTTTCTATCCCTTGTTTTAGTAATGATGTTTTTAGACTCATTCTTTTTGATTAAATTACTGCTTCTATTTCAAGTTTTCTTGTAAAATGCCTACGCACGAGCCGCCACGGTTGACAACATGGTTGACACAAAGTACAACAATTAAAACAAAAGCGTACCGATACGTTTAACTTATCACGACACGGTTTATTATCTGCCAATTTAATTAACTATATTTTCAGACGATAATACTGCTAATACCTACATGCATTATTATGGGTTTCCCCGTTTTAGATGGTTCAGATTCAAAAATGTTATCTTAAGTGTTTTCAACTAAGAATTGAATGCAATTTTATTGGTTTGTTATCATTCAATTACTTGGATGATGATGATAAAATTCTAACATGTTTCAAGAAATCCGTTCCTTTAAAGCTTACACCTACATAACGTACTGTTTTCTTATCATATATCTACCGTGATAAATGATTATTTATATTTGTGGTGCCTTGCCTCGTTTAGGAACTCAGTTTTAATCCGATAATTAAGTACAATTTGTTTGTAATTGCTATTATGTGTTATTCTCCTTTATTACAAAAAGGTTTAGTTTGGGTAAACCCCAACTTTGATTGCGGTACTTAATAGTAATTAGGTAATTACATGTATTGATTTGATTGCGAATATAAATAGAATATTAAGTTAAAACCAAAGGAAAAACCACCGAGTATGTCCTACAATCCAGATGGATATAATGAGACTTAATGAATATATCAGAAGGATATCGGAGAAAATAAGAAAAAATGGAGTAAATACAAAAATACCATAAGGATTCAAATACTATATATACTAACATTCGGTAGAGTCGGTTTTTTGTTTAAACAAAAAGACTGAAAATTAGTAAATCCTGGAAATTTTTGAATGATGCGACACATAGAGTTCAGACCCATCCCACGGTTTGTTTATTTATTTTATTGCCTGTTATAACGGCGGCTTTGTTTCATTTCGTTATTTCTTTAAATTCTACTTACTGGGAAAATTTACAGGACGAAACAATAATAACATCGTTTTGAGGGGCAGATTTAAGTTAAATTACGCCCTAGCCCTATTATTTCGATTTTACCCTGCTTGTTCTTTAATTCTACATATTTAGCAGGATTGTTAGTATGATTTTCTAAAAATATTGCATAGAAACTGAAAATTTTTAATTTTACATTTTATATTATTGTGTATATCTTATATGGAGCAGCTATTAGAAATTGTAGGAGAATAGAGGGGCTTACGGAAGTCAATAAAAAGTAGGAGAGATAGGTCGGGGTACATGTATATGGGACCCCTTCTCATCATACATGAAGGTTGAAGAGCTATTTAGAGACATATCAGAGGCAGAAACAGGAGTTAAGAGGAGTAGAGATAGACCTAGATTAGATTACTGTTCACAAACAGTAAAGAATGCGGGATGTTCTAGTTTTAGGAAAATGCGAAGATTAGCTCATAATAGGAAAAAGTAGAGGTGCGTGCCCAAACAGTCTTAGGACTGATTACCTTACGAGGTTGATGATGATCTTGATAATGACAGCGACAAAGTTTGACAATAATCGTCGAATGCTAAAATACCATGAAATTAACTATTATTGAAGAAGTTTTTAATACTTATTGAAGACGAATCTGGTTATTGTTTGTCTGTTTGAGATGTAAAGAAGTTTGCAAAATTGATAATTACAAAAAGAGATGCCTACTATAGGAATATTTCACAATAAATTGCTGGTAGATTGTTTTAATGTGTCCACTTATCAAAAATTGCTTGTGATTGTCAAGAGTGAGTCCCTTTTAGGTTTTTTTTATTAATCACAGTCTCCTTCATTACTGTACTAACTGATAACGCAAAAACTGTATCTAAGTAATACACACCATGTCTATAGGTACTGAAAAACAATATGTACGAAAATACTTATAATATATACATCACGTGCATTTTTTATTGGTTAAATCATTTCTAAAAGTAGAGCGTAGAATATAGGTACTTGAATGAATTACAAAATGGGTAAGGGAAAATATTCATATGTCAAAATGATTTATTGAAGAGATTAGATAGAAAATAAAAAGTACCTATATAAATCTGATAATTTAAATAAAAATCAATCTCATCAAGTACCTAATGCCTTGAAGTGATTTGAAAAGATTTGGTTTTCATTAGATACATCATTCTATTTGTAATTTGCTGTTCGTAAATTAAAAGGTTTTATCTCTAGTAGCGTTAAAATATGTGGCTTAAATTATATGATATTTATTAATGATTTTGCTGGGTACCCGACGAAACCACTACGGTTAATGGTTCATGTCTTTGTCCTGGCTGATTTTCTATTAAATACTACTCACTAACGTCCCAACCCATATTAAGTCCCGTTTAAAAAGTCGTTTAAACACTAAACCAATTAAATTTTAATTCTTGGGTGGCGGATTTTCAATGAGAGGGTTGGGTTTACAATACCGGAAATGTATGAAATCCAGGCATTGTATACAATTCCGAGGCTATTTAGGAAATCTATAAAATATTATTTCAAATATTTTTAATACACACATATCCTGGGAAATTTGTACATTTCCTAGGAATTGTATGATATTTCGGTATTGTACTGGGAAATGTATAAAACTAATGCTTACTGTGAATAAAACGAATACCCTCCCCTTGCTCGCTATCACCGCGTAGCTATTGACATCTTGAATGTAATACATTTCCGATTGCTATTTAGGAAATGTATAGATTCCCTAGGAAATGTGTCTAATATAATTTATTTCATACATTTCCGGGCGATTGTAAGAATTATATACGTTTCCTAGGAATTGTACACAATGACGGATTGCACACATTTCCGTTAATATATACACTAAAAGTCTGCAAGGTGACAAAATCATAGTAAATAGTTATCGTTAATCAAAATTTGATATACCAACAAGCAACAGAAGTTGTAACAATTCGGCCGTATTGATATATTCATATTCAAACACAAGAACTACATCGAAATAACAAATAATTTAGTCATCATCATCATAAGGTCGTCAGTCCTAAGACTGGTTGGACACGCACCTCCACTCTTTCCTATCCTGAGCTAATCTTCGCATTTCCCTAAAACTAGAACATTCCGGATCCTTAATTTTTGCGAACAGTAATAAGTAATCTAGGCCTCTTAACTCCTGTTTCTGCCTCTAATATGTCTCTGAGTAGACCTTCATGCCTGAGAAGGTGTCCTACCAACCTAGCAATAATTTAGTATAGTAATCAATAAATATTACAAATTAGGACAAATGACCTATCCCAATACAATCTCAATTACCACTTTTCATTAAACTTGTTTTGAAGAACAAAATGCTGCGCTACGAGTACGCAAAAAGGTCGCGACGCTTTTAGAGTATGGCGCCAAGAACACGGATTTTAATCATCAACGGAGTATGAGTCAACTCGCACATGATTGATTTTTTGTTTTATATTCAATTCATTGCTCACAATCCGTTCATTTGAGTGTCTTGATATACCTTAAATGCATATATGTATGGGTAAATACCACACGGTATCTGCAATTACTTGTCTAAAAACAGACTTTTTTTACAGAGATATGCAAAAATTGATTTCTTCTGTTTCCGAATGGGAGAAGCGATATAATAGGACGATGATAAGCGAACATCAGAAGCAGTGTCTTATGCCAGATATTGTTCTTGAACATGTTAACAAAAATGTCAGATTCAGGCCCTTTCACGGACCAAAAAAGACTATATCGGAACCTGTTTCATCTTTGAAATTATACGTGATACATGACAATATAGAAATTCCAGATCCTTTTGATAATTCCGTTTATAGTAAAATAGATAAGCCAGCTTACAGGGCGTATTTGGAAGAATCTGATGAACACAAAGGTAAGAACAAACAGTTTTACGCCTTAAACAGAAAACATTAAATGCTTCGATTGTATATCAATTTTTAATTTTTGTATAACAAACAATTAGGAGAAGGGCCGAGGGGGCAGCTCACCCCTGGACTTTTGTCCCGGTGGGATTCTAAAAATTGATAACGGCATTCATGCACCACCCCTGATAAATTGTATATGCAATTAACAACTATTAATGCAAGTGTTTATAAAGTAATGTAATTTATCTTGTAAATAATAAATTTAGATTTGGTTTGAAACTGAGTTAATTCTAAGGAAATTTAAATCAACTATCAAAAATAATTTGAAAACTGTTACTGTTTTACAATGACAATAAAGTTATTAAAAGGTTTCTATGCAGATATAGACGAATCTATCTCCTTATTTACGCATATATATGTATATAACTCGTCCAGCTTTTAAAATAGTACAATAGATACTTCATTCTATAAGTAGGTTGTTTTTAATATACGTTGCATTTATTTCAGAAGAGGTTTTGGTTCAAAATTGATTCAATTCTTTAGATAACATTGTTCTTTCTAGTACTTCTAGTATTTTAAAATGACCAATATTTCTGCGTACCTATCAAGTCAAGATGCTTTCCTGATAATGTGAAGAACTCTTGTAAAACAGAAATAAACTAGTAAAATTTTTGTACCTGTCAGTTTAAATTAATATCGAACAATCCAACCCAATCTAGTTGCTTGTTAGTGGAGAACTTTTCGAATATTTTTGTATAGAATATCTGATATGATCTTTCCGTTAATCAGGTGATTATATATGTATATAGCTATGTGCGTAAATCGATTGTTATGGTTATCACAAAATGATTAGAACTTTCTGCAAAAACTATCTTTAACGATAAGTGATTATCGTTGCTTCTGTACATGTAATACACGTAAAATTACTGTTAGTAACACTAAAAAATTTTATTTACTGCATTTTCTTTCTAAGAACCTCTACTGTTGTGTTATCAATTTTTCTTCGTAATATAAATATAATCATCCACTCTATCGTTAACTGGCTATAAATTATTACAACTAATGGTTAATTTGTCTCTTTAATTAGCCATGTGGAAGTTTTGGTAATAAAATTTGATTGCTTCCAGTAACTCAATTTCAACAATTTTTTAATCCGCCCCCTATGAAATTTCTTCATTTATTTCCTAGAGTAATATGAAAAATTTAAAAACATATTTTTTGCAGCGGTTGTAAATTCGGTCGGTTTGTGCCGAATTTGTATACTCTACTTTAGTTCGGTCTTAGTTTTAGTTTTGATCTTGTTCTTGAGTATAGAAGAGACCTCTTTTTATTGGAGGCGACTCTGCTTTATATCCCTGTTACCCCTTCCGTCCTGACTTATCTGACTTCTTAGATACCTAAAATCAGCCACTTCTTTTAGTTTTTCATCTCCTATCTTTATATTCCCCCTTTCTCTAGTTTTCCTTCCCTTCCATACCAGTATTTTTGTTTTACTTTTATTTATTTTCATACAATACTCTTTTGCCAGTATTGTTTTCATTTTATTCAAAGCTATCTCTAACCCCTCCTTGCTAGATGCTAATACTGCTGTATCATCTGCAAATCTAAGCATACTAATCTTTTTCCCCTCTATATCTATCCCTACAGTTGTACTGTCTTTAATGATGTTGATGGCGTCTTCGATGTATAGATTAAAAAGTAGAGGTGACAGTGTGGATCCCTGTTTGACTCCATTGCTAATATTTACTTCTCTACGTTGCAGTCCCAGCTCGTATCACTCTTGTATCTCTGTAACTCATCCCTACATTTTAAGTATATTTAACATCTTGTCCCATTTAACATTGTCAAAAGCATTTTCTAAATCTACAAATCCTATGTACGCATTCTTTCCTTTTTCTATCGTTTTCTCTATTGTTACCCGTAATGCTGGAATGGCCTTCCGCGTTCCTCTATTTCTTCTAAATCCAAATTGATCTTAATAGTTTATTTTTTATATTTATTTACATCCCTCTCTATACAATTCTAGTTACGATTTTTCGACGCATGGAAAATTAAGCTAATTGTTTTAAAAGTCTATCCGCGTCTCTCTTTTTAGGTATGGTTATTATCACGTTTCGTTTATAATCCTGTGGGAATTTTCCCTTCTCGTAAATGTGACTAACTAGTTTAAACATAGGATCGCTAACCTCTTGAGAGTTTTCGTAACTCTCACAACTTTCGACAAATTTTCTTTGAAAGTCATGACAAAAACTCGTATGTGTGACAGAAAATTTCAGCATTTAAGCCAATTATTGTGTCGGTAAATACAAAGTAACATTATGAAATTACAACCAAATGTTTCTTTTATTTTCAGGATATGTAAAAGTAAGACAAATGGATTTGTCCTCAAAAAGACCAATCTATAATGTCGCGGAGAGAAGTGATTCCGACGAGTCTTTTTACGAAACATTACCATCGACATCACAAGATGACCCTGTCACATCAAGTAGAAGTACTTCCTGCTCCGGTTCGGATCAAGATTATACTCGGTTGTCGCAATTTCGGACCCCAGCGCCACTTAATATATCTGAAAGTGACATTTACACTGCTATCGGAACTTTACCATCAAAGTGTTTGACTCCAGTGAGGGTAAAGAACAACGATTTAATAAGAGATGACGATGACGACGATGATGATGATGATGATGACAGTGATGACGACACAAAATTGGACAGTTATGCCAGAAAATCCCGCGAAAAACTATTTATCTACGTTAACTACTTCAATTCGAAAGAATTCATGCTTCATTTTTCTGCTAGAGTGTTTCCTAACGTCTTGGGTCAGACGTTAGGATTTAATGAAGACGAAATTTTCGCGGCTTCTTTAGCAGAATGCAAAATTTATTGCGATACTTTAGACGAGAACGAAAACATTGTCAAATGCGAAATCGTTCCAGCTATAGCCATTCCGTGGCCAACTGTAGCTTTCGAATGGTCAGCGAGGAGCCGTCCGAAGATCACCGACGAAAGAGCAATGATCCGCTATCAATGGCCGACAGAAAAAATGATAAGAGAAATCAAATCCATGAACTGCGTAATAATCCCGAAAGGATACATGCCAAAGAACAATAAACAAAATAACCCAATGATGGACTTGGAATGGGAAGTGGCGTTTCCAAAGGCCGAAAGATATTTAGAAACCAGAATGTCACATGCCCAAATGAGGTGCTATTTTACTCTACTATCTCTTTACAAAACATTTATTGAACCAGTTACATTAACGCACGGTTTACTCACGGAGCACATAAAGATCCTCCTGTTTTGGGAATGCGAAAAGAACTACATGTCTTGGTCGGATTGTAAACTTTGGAAAAAGTTACGAATTCTTTTGCAAATATTAAACAGATGCTTGTCGACTTGTAAGTTACCTGATTATTTTATTAAAAGTAAAAATGTTTTCGAAAACGTCCAGACGAAGTATCTGGTAGCTGCCCAAGAAATTATTTATAGAATATTAGAATCTCCTATACCGTATTTACTCAGAGCGCTGAGAAATTTAAGGTGTATGTCAGGCAAATTTTATCCAAGTCCGAATTTGAAACAACTCTACGAAATTCTTACTGCGAAAAATTCACTCTTAAGCATACCCCAATTTAAACCGACTAATGGCTCAGTTATGAATGGAGAGGCAAATAAAAAACGAAAATCGTATAATCCCGACGTAGATCAAGAATGGAGACTGAAAGCGCTTGAAAAACAAAGAATAGAAAGACTGAAAAAGCAGAAAGAACAAAAGCAGAAGAAGGTGTCTTCTGAGAATCTCTTCAAAAGACGAAGTTCTGTGGATTCTATTGATATAAACGTAAGTCTACAGTATCTTATCAGTTCATTATTTTATCAATTCCAGTCAAGAATATAATCATTGCTGACAATTAAATTAAAGATATTTAATTTGTTTCAAAAAACAATTAACCAAAATATCATTCGCTGACGTTATATAATCGGAAAAGATTTTTATCATTATACTAAAGCGCGACATTTACCCTTTTGAGACTCAATTCTTTCGCCTGTTATCTCGTTTTCTTTTTTAATACTTGTGGTCTTCTTTTATTCATAAAAACTTTGAAGATATAAACAATCAATAACTTTTTACAATGGTTTGCCAGCGTTATACCTAAATATTGTATGAAAAGAACACCAAATAAGCACGCATTTGGTAGTCCTGTCGGTCAAATAACCAAAAAAACAGTTTAAAAATTTGTTATCTTAACATTCTGTATGGATCAATATGTCAACCTTCTTTATTGTCTTAGTCTGTTCGGAACTAATTTCTTTTTTGTTTAGATGTTTGACGATTTCCACGTCGACGAAATCAGAAAAAGGTCCATCTTGATATTTTTCATCGATCATTTCATTGCCATCGCCAAAACGAGTCACAAAATTGGCTCGATAAGACAAACATTGTTTTATTTGAAACAAGCGTGGTATCTTACGAGATTGCTTGGAGATTCACCGGCCAATAAGCAGGATGTTATGGAATATGAAAAGATTATAAACAAAGAAGAAGAGTTATGTCACAGGAAAATCGATAATCAGTCTAGTACAACATCTCCTCCGTCACCTCCTGCTCCACTAACACCTAAAAGGAATTCCATTCTCCACAGTAAGTTTTTTGGAACATTATATATATATGACTAATCACAATACTTCAAGAATCAGTGTGGGGTCACATGAAGTACGTGCCCAGGTATGTTTTTAACGTGATTTTGAATTCGCAAATTGAAAAAAGAATCAATCAAAAATCCATCGTTCTTGATATAAAATAGAATGATGGAGCTATAGACAAAATTAATAAAGTAAATTATCATTATCGATTTTTTTACCTAAAGGACCGTTATCTAAAAAGATAACTGTCAACGACTGTTATCTAAAAATGTGCTTCTGGTATTTTCAAAAACACTGAGCGACCATCAAAGAATTTTTAATCAGTTTAAACTAGTAAAGAAATATTTTTTTTATAAACAATACCTCTTTTCTATACATATATCAATCGAAACTGAACTAAGTAATTACGTAATTTAGAAGAAGAATTTTTACGGTATAATCATTTAAAGAAAAATCCTTTTTTACAGCATCCAATAGCACGCGAACGTTGAAATCGCAATCGAGCAACGAAGATAAGCCACCTATTCGAAAACAAACCGATCAAGTGAAAAAGCGAAAAACGATTACCTTCATGGCGGATGTTGACCATGAAGCAACAGCTTTTTAGTTTAAAGTTATCTAATAACTAGTACCAAATATTAATTTATTTATTACACCTATTACGTACCTGTAACGGTAAGTAGATTTAAGTCTTTGTAGATAATATACGATATGTAAATATGTATATAACTTTCGTAAAGTGAACTACGTTTATTTATTATTAATAAACTTTGAAAGTACTTACGTTTACTCCATGCTCGTTGTAGAAATCGGCAGTACCCAAACTACCATATAACTTGTATCCCATTTTGCTTAAAGCCCTCACGCTGGGCAGCAGCTCCATTTTGTGCTAAAATAATTCCCATATATAATAATTGAAAGGAATTCTTCGAATGAAATTTGGTGAAACATTTTATAAAATTATAAATTAAAAAATAGGAACGCAAAAATTATTTGAATGTACTGGAAGTGACTGAAAAATCGAACAAATATGAAACTTTACCTAGTGCTTTTATTTCTTAATTTAAATTCACGTACGTCAAATATTTATTAAAGTCGGCGTAATAAAAATACAAATTATCTATATGAAAAGCTACAATCAACGTCTTTAATACCCCCCAAGAGGGGGGAGGGCTATGAGGATTGAGCCGCCCCCTCAAAATTTCCCAAATTTTAGCAAATTTGTTTTTTTTTACAAGTAGTTACACTAAAACGTGATGGTGCATCTTTTTACATAAAACACGTTGTATTTCCCTCTATTTTTAGTATTTGGAAAATTGCTATACGATTAAGCTTTAAAATATTTTTTATAACAGATTAACCCCCACCCTGCATACTTTTGCGGGTATCTTAATAATTTCCAAAACATTAAAATTAGTTTTTTAAAAATCATCAAACGACAAAATATTTATAGAATAACCCCAGAAATAACGCCTTCATGGTTTGCCACATATTTAATAAACACCCTGTATATAAGTGATCTTTGTTATATAATCACATTTTTCATGTAATAAATGTATTTGCTTTTTGACTATTAAGCTTCCTTCCCCTTACCCTCAGAAAAAAGTTTAATCTGTGGGCCAGATGTACATAAATGGTACTATCCATTACTTACCACAATAAAATGTAATCAACGTAAAAAAGAATATTACTAAAGATAGGAAAATGTTTTGGGCATTGTTTTCAGAAAAATTTAAACTAGTACACTCTAACAATAAAATACATTAGTTAGAAGGAAAGAACACCTACCATATAACATCCGATTGAAAGAAGAATAGAATGTTTAGGAATTGTGAACCCAGTGCTCATCATTGCTTTCAAATATGCCTCATAACGATTTTCTCCAAAGCAGGCTACTTCTCCCGTAGATGCCATTTCAACACCCAGCATGAAGTCAGCACCCGCGAGACGGGAAAACGAAAACTGCGGAACTTTTACTCCAACTTTTCCAGAACCTTGAAGAACATCTACAGGTTCTACCGGTTCCCCAATTATGACCTTCGTAGCCATAGCAACAAAATTGTGATCTAACGTTTTCGAAACGAACGGAAATGATCTTGAAACCCGTAGATTACATTCGATAACTTTTAGTTCATTATCCTTAAAAAAAAAAAAAAGGATTCATTGATGGATCAGACATGTTCTTACAGAAGTTTTATAGGAGTATATGTATATAATTCTATCTAAAGTAATAGTTAATTTTATTCAATTTATATAGTTGTATTCTCTCATTAAATTACAAAAGTCACAAATATGTATCATTGCGTTTTCACCGCAATTGACTAATGATACAAGGAAGAAGACTATAGATAAGAGCAGAAACTACGTAGATTGCATGTTAATGTATGGCGCAAGCTGTAAAAGCGTCACTTACATTGGTCTTTGTAGTTCGCTGCGCAGTAAGGCAGTGCTCATCTTTGTTTTTGACAGCTGACAATACCGAAATTGATGCGCAGTCCTTCACTGCGCAGCGAACCCTTGCGCTGTTTATTTATTATTATTAATCGCCCAGTTATTGCTCCTACATCTAGTCTTTTTGGATACAAGGTAATACGTACTCGCTGCAGGTATGTTATTAAATGCCCGATACATTTATTTTTGAAAGAAATTACTTCACGGAAATTCAATAGGGTGTAAAAATGGCTTTTCCACATTCTGACCAGACTAAATTTTTTTTTTTTTTAACTTTAAGAATGGTAGTGGAAGTCAACATTTGACTCATATATTTGGCTTTTGAGTATTTTCTCAATTTTGTTATAAAATGTGCTTTACCTTAGCAATCAATTGCATATTGAAGGGTCCGGTCACCTCCAAAGAAGCGGCGATGGCTTTGGTGATGAGTTTAATTTTACCCAACGTTTCGGCATTAATATCTTGAGGTGGTGTTACTAACGTAGCATCTCCCGAATGCACGCCAGCGTTTTCAACGTGTTCGGACACGGCCATGCAAAGAATCACTCCGTCATAGGCAACGGCATCCACGTCAATTTCCTTCGATTCCAAAATAAATTTAGAAATGACAACCGGATGCTCTTTACTAACGTCACTGGCCTGATTTAGATAAGTTTTGAGATCGTTATCGGAATGCGCAACGTTCATTGCAGCCCCGCTGAGCACGTACGAAGGTCGTACTAAGCAGGGATAACCAACTTCTTCGCAAAATTCTATCGCAGATTGTAGATTTGTCAATTCTTTCCATCTTGGTTGCGATATGCCTATTTGGTCTAACATACGCGAAAATTTAAACCTATTTTCTGCACCGTCGACCGATTCGGGAGATGTTCCGAGGATTTTAGCTTCTTGCCTGTGCAAATCCATCGCTATGTTGTTCGGGAGTTGACCTCCCATCGACAAAACAATTCCGGATGCGCATTCAACGTTGTAAATGTCCATTACAACTTCAAATGAAATTTCTTCGAAATAAAGCCGGTCTGACATGTCATAGTCGGTGCTTACTGTTTCAGGATTGTAATTTACCATTATCGTTTTCTTGTTCAGTCGTCTCAGTTCGGTCAAACAGCTTACGGCGCACCAATCAAATTCTACCGAACTTCCTATTCTATAAACGCCAGATCCAATAACCATTATGTGCTCTTCATCGAAATTTAAATCGTGAGCAACGGCGTTGTATGTAAGGTATAAGTAATTCGTACTGGCCGGCCACTCTGCAGCAACTGTATCTATCTGTTTCACGAAGGGTAAGACGTTATTTTCACCCCTTAATTTTCTTATGGCTAGTTCCGTACTTTTAACAGCAGTTGCTATTTGTTTGTCAGAAAATCCCAGTTGTTTCGCTTTCAGTAGCGTTTCTTTATCTAATTTGTGTTGTTCTGTTTGTTCTAGAGAGGTAGTGAAATCGATTATGTTCTTCATTTTTTGTAAAAACCATGGGTCTATTTTGGTCAAGTCGTACAATTTATCAACGGAATATCCGCTCTTTAAAGCAGCTGCCAACACAAACATTCTTTTATCTGTTGGTTCTTTTAATTCGTTTTCATTTACTTGCTTAATGTATGGATCGAATCCTATGACGTTTTCGTCGACCATTCGAAATGCTTTTTGTAACGCTTCTTCAAACTTTCTTCCTATTGCCATAACTTCGCCGACACTCTTCATGGAACTGCCAATTTTTGTACAGACCCTTGAAAACTTGCTCAGGTCCCATCGCGGTATTTTGACGACGCAATAATCCAAACTTGGTTCGAAGCAAGCTGTTGTTACTCCTGTAACCGAGTTCTTGATGTCGGGTAATGAGATACCTAAAGAGAGTTTGGCTGCAACGTAAGCAAGCGGATATCCGGTGGCCTTACTTGCAAGCGCCGAACTTCTGGATAATCTTGCATTAACTTCTATAATATAATACTCTTCCGATGACGGATTTAGAGCGTACTGAATATTACATTCGCCAACGACCCCAAAGTGGCGGATAATTTTTATCGCCGTTGTTCTGAGCATATTGTACTCTTTATTGCTTAGTGTTTGACTAGGAGCCACAACTATCGATTCTCCAGTATGTATTCCCAAGGGATCTACGTTCTCCATATTACAAACCGTTATGCAATTATCGTAGGCATCCCGGACAACTTCGTACTCAACTTCCTTCCAACCCTTCAAGGATTTATCAATTATTAATTGATTGGAATGAGCAAGTGCCTGGCTGGCTAACGAGCTCAATTCGTCTTTGTCCTTAGCGAATCCAGAACCTAATCCTCCTAATGAAAATGCTGCTCTGGCCATGACGGGATAACCGAGCTTTTCGGCAGCTTTCAGAGCATCCATGACAGAATAAACTGCTTCGCTTGGAGCTACTTTCTCACCAATAGCAGATACTTTTTCCCGAAATATTTTTCTGTCTTCGGTTTCTATTATTGCGTCGATTGGTGTCCCCAAAATTTTCACCCCGTATTTCGCAAATACTCCAGATTTAGCCAGTTCCACGCCACAGTTCAAAGCCGTTTGTCCTCCAAATGTGAGAAGAATTCCTTCGGGCCTTTCCACTTTAATAACTTGTTCTACGTAAATCGGGACCAGGGGTAAAAAATAGACTTTGTCGGCCATTCCTTTCGACGTTTGAACCGTTGCTATGTTGGGGTTAATGAGGACCGTTTGAATGTTTTCTTCTTTCAAAGCTTTGATTGCCTGAGAGCCTGAATAGTCAAACTCTCCAGCTTGACCTATTGACAATCCTCCTGAACCAATGATTAATACCTTTTTTGGGAATACCGTACTGGGTGGTACAGAAGGAATGTACTTTAAAGTAGAATGCACTAAATCGTTAACGTTAGTAATCGAAGTTTTATACGTTTTCGCCAAGTCGAGAAATACGTCAAAAAGACATTCCAAATCTTCCGGGCCTGCTGTATGTTCTGGATGAAATTGTACGCTAAAATACGGCAGTTCTTTGTGAATGACTCCTTCATTTGTGAAATCGTTCGCATTATAAAAAAGCGTTTCCCACTCGGAAGGTAAAGAGTCTGAATCAATTGCAAATCCATGATTTTGTGAGGTCATGTAGCAACGTCCGGTTCTTTTATGGATGCATGGTTGATTGTGACCGCGATTGCCGTATCTGTAATATGACATTAACGATTTGTTTTTTGCAAAAGTACATGCAATTTAATACTTGCTTCATTTTATAACTCGCACAACCGATCGCTAAAGAGAGAATTTGGTGACCGAGACATATGCCAAAAATTGGCTTGATGGTTTTTGTTGAGAGGATATTTTTCAAGTTTTCAATTGTTGCTGACGCCATTAATGGATTTCCGGGACCATTACTAAGGAATAAGCCATCGTATTCTTCAATTTTTGGAAGATGATCAAAAGGCACTACATCTACCCTTGCCCCTCTATTCAGTAAACAGCGAATTTGATTGTATTTTAAACCACAATCTATTGTACAAATGCGTGGATGGCCGTTTGGATTGTATGTTCGAATGTTCTAGAACAGAATTAGGGAATAATCAAAAATCTCTCCAAACGGTGCTGTAAAACACACTAAAAAGCTCAAACCCCAACACCTTAAATAGGGCGCTAATAAAGTTACCTTCTCGAGTGACTCTGGGACTCTCTTCAATTCCTGAAGGTGGTAATTTTGTTACCCAAATGTACTTGCGGTGTTTAGCGTCATATTTTGGCGTTGGGGTTTGAGTTATTTATTGTTTTCCATAAATTTTCTTCTTAAAATAATAATATCAAAATCATTTACTTTTGTAGAAACTTCCTCGACAAGATTTCTGGAATTTGGATCATTAATTTTCGTTGACAAATTGTTATCTAAATGATGTACAATCCTTCCTAGAATAGTTCCCTTTTCTCTAATCATTTTTGTCAGTTCTCTAGTGTCAATTCCTTGGATTCCTGGAACATCTTGCTCCTCCAACCACTTTGAAAGAGTCTTGGAATTTCTCCAGTGACTTGGAAAGTCGCAATGCTCTCCAACAACTAATCCTGCAGCCCATATTTTCTCCGATTCAAAAAAACTGAAGTGTAAGAATTGTTATAAAGCTAATAACCTACATAATGGATCTGTATATACATATAGTATAATATTCTTACTATGGTAAACCATATTTATCTAACTGTGGTGCCGGAACGCCATAATTCCCAATTAATGGGTAGGTTAATATAAGTATCTGAGATCTGTAACTTGGATCGGTTAATGATTCTGGATAACCCACCATACCCGTTTGGAAAACTGAAGAATGACAAAATAACAAATACAGAAATTTGTTGGCTTATTAAAATACATAATAGGGGTCTTCAAACCCGGCTATCAAATGAATCCACTTGGAATAAATAGTAATAATTCAATATCATAGAAAAACATAATGGGGGGTTATTAGGGTGAAAGTATCGATAAAATGTTCATTTAATCAATTCTGTAACGGTTTGCTATTTTATTGATCTTCCCGAGTAAAAATAATTCATTAATTTTTCACTCAACTAAAATACCGCCAAATTAGCACCGTAAATTGTTCCAAAAAACGACGAAAAAAGGCCCGTTTGCAGGACTAAACCTCCGAAATAGCGCCGAAATAGCACTAAAATAGCACCGCATTTCAGTAAACCGCCAAAAAAGCACCGAAAAACCGCCGTTTTTCTACTAAAAGAGCGTTGGAACAGTACTCTTCTCGCATGAAATAACAAAAACTGATTAATTATTAATTAACTTTTATTTATGTTATAAAGTATTAAAGATTCTGAATATTGTAACAACTATCATTATTATTTGAACTATTATTACTATTGTTAATATTATGATTAATGTTATTATTACTTATTTTATTATTGCTATTTTCATAATAATTATGTGGCTGTGCATTATAATTCAATGCATCATCGCACCTGTCGCACCCACAGCAAATAGGCAGAAAAAATGTTATTATTCAAAAGTTATCCTACTGACATTAAAGTTAGTATACGTAATAATGCCCTCTAAATTATGACCTTCTTTCGGAAATGTAATATTTAAATTTTCAAAAGTCTGAGAAGTATTGTACATTTAAAAGAGAATATAAATATATGTATATTCATAAACATTAATATAAAATTTTTTTTACGACAAAAACCATCACTAACTATATCCTTATATCAATTTTAATTGATAAAAGTTATTAAATACTTTATGAATAAATTAATAATCCATAATCATTATTTTTGTATCTTGTGCTGTGTAGGAAGCCGTTTTCGGTGCTATTTTGGCGGTTTTTCGGTCGTTCTTGTAGACAGCCGTTTTCGGTGCTATTTCGGTGGTTTTTCGGTCGTTTTTGTAGGCAGCCGTTTTCGGTGCTATTTCGGCGCTTTTTCGGTCGTTTTAATAGAGGTATTTTGGTCGTATTTTAGAGTTTTTAATTTTTGTCGTATTCACCGGCGCTATTTCGGTGGTAAAATAGTAGTTTTTAGACATTTGGAGCTAATTCGGCGGTCTTTTAGTCTTTTTCATTTTTACTCGGGTTTCTTCCAAAATAAATAAAATAATAGATGCTAAACCTAAACCAATAAAAATATTTTATAAATGTATTTTTCAATTACAATTACACCAATAATATGGGTTTGGTAGTAACTGGTAATAAAGAAAAACTAGGGCAATTATAGTTTCAACAACAATTATTTGTAATTCACAACGGTATTGATTCACCGCACTGGGGCTATATCAAGTGATGATGTACTTGCAATGTGAAATGAATTATATATTTTATCTTTTCTGGGAACAATAACGAATGACAAATTGTCTTTGTGGTTGTTCATTAATAGCATGAGCCTTAGTACACTCAACAACCTATAATAAACAATATTTGGAAATGTTTATTTGCTATGTTACAAGTTACAAGATTCCTATTTGTAAACAAGACGTTCATACATTTAGGTATAACTATAATTGGTTGTATAATGTACCCGTTAACATACAAAATATCTATAAAACAAATGTTGTTTATATCATTATAGCGATAAATAATAAACACATATAATAAATTTATAGTAGGTTTAGTGTTATTTTTAAATTTTCATATTGAACTTTAAAATATCGTAAATTGCAATTAAACATTTATTGTTAAAATTTTACGCAAAAATAAATGAATTTCAGCTAAAGAAAGATCAATAGATTAAAATTTTTCCTGTAATTTTTTAATATTGTTAAATGCATGTCAAATATTATCCTTAGTATATTTGATTGAAACTAATCATGTTTAAGTCGACTTTTCGCATAAAGCTCATATGCAGAGATACTTATATTTAAAGTAGATAGCATCGTTCTAGCGCTATAAGCACTAACTTACATATTTTATAGAGTGACCAACTTTAAACAATAGGATATCTAATGGAACTGTAAGCAATTTTCATTTTTACATAACCCCAAATAAGTTTCGCGTTCGGTTTCTTTTATGTTTTAAACATTAAAATTGTCTTGTGAAACAAAATCTTACAAAAGTGTCGTATTTGAGTTTAAATTAATAGCTATAGTAATTTTGTGTAATTTATCATAATATTCCAACGATATAAGGTAACACATTATTATTTTATTAGCATAAGCAATTGAATCTCTTCTCTAAAGTTTCAATTAAAAACTACGGTTCAAATTATTAATTAAATTATTTATTAATCATTTCATTTAAAATTATTTTTAACAACATCGAAGATGTAAAAAATCGATTGATATAACAAATCGGTGTAAAACAAATGAATATCGTTGTTTGATTTGATATTGATACACACTTCGATATTAAAAGACTGCTTTTCTGTATGCAATTTATTTACACTATTTATAATAATTGATTGGGTTGGATAAAATTTGACTTGAATTGGTATAGTTGAATTTGAATACTTAATTAATTTGTGTAGTTGAATTGAAATAATTAATTGTCTGCACAAATATAGGAAATGCCCCTAAAGTAAAACGGACCCCTTGGTCCACGCTTTGGATGTTTCCGTGCACTCTTCAGGTACCCAGAAAAGCCCGACGTGATACCTACCTGAAGGGTGTAATAAAGAGGCCCCAAAGCTGTTTGTAAGCACAGTTTTATGTTAAATATTTATACCAGACATCATAATATACACGAAAAATAAATACAAACTAAAAACACGATAAAAATATACAAATATACAAACAAATAAACAACTCGACACCGATCAATCGTTGCAAAAAATAATAAAATCAATCCTCTGTCATCTACCGGAGTTCTCGCTATCTAAAATTTTTTTTTAATAATTAACACTAGGTACTACCTATTAATTAACGCAAAAGTAACTTGTATTGTAATTTTTCACCCAAAAATATCAGAAATGCAATAGGTTTAAGGATGAAAATTTCTCATCATGAGAAAAGTCAATAAATAATAATTATTTTTTTTTCAGTTTGTAGGAGTAGATAGTTGATTGGCTATATATAGGCAATATTTTAAATCTTTTGCCTATTGAAATATATTATTGAACTTAATTGTTATTTAAAAAATAACGAAAAACAAAAAAGGGTTTTTTTTTCTTGAAAATGTTTTAAATATGTGATTAGGCAGGTAATTACTTTAAAGATTTTTTTGTGTACAGTATATAGATAAAGTTTGATTTATGAAAATACTCGTAGATTCAGCGAGAGACAGATAATTGTAATTTATCAATAGCGTCCTTGTAATTAATGGCCATCCTTACATAATCGGCAAATATTAATATTGACATATTTTTATTTGTTTGGAGCTGTCTGGCGATGTTCTCATACCAACAGCTGTCCCCAAACTATCACGATTACAACTGTAATAATGTTGTTGTATAAACGTATACTAACATTGCTAAAAACATTATCAACGACGACCGGCTTCACCACGTGTTTTCATATACTTCTTTACTTACCAATTTCTCCTTCGGTTTGTTTTCGAGAACCAAACGGTACACCAGTAAAAACAACCCCGTTTTCTAGCACAAGATAGCACCTGTTGATTTCGGTTTCCTGTGGCGGCATTTTGAGAAAAAGAGCTTTTTACGTTTAAGCTCAAAGTCGTGCACTTCAGTGCTGGAATGTGTTCACGTCACTGATTCGTTTATTCGCTAAACGTAAGGACAGCAATTTTTCAATAAAAAAAGATAATTCGTTGGCGATATTACTTTTATTTTTATTTAGGAAAGAAACACTAATAGTTTTCCGCTTCGTACGCGTTTATTTATGGAAACTAAAGAACAAGTTATTACAAGTTGTCTGGATTTGAATAGCAAAACGGATTGCTATGAATGTGTGTATGTTTGTATCTATAAATGAATAGGTATTTGTTATGAAGATGAGAGTGGAGGGAAAGTAGTTGATTATTACCGCAACCTCGGGTACCGTTCAAGAATAAGTTATCGTTATCTCAGCTATGCATTTGTTCGTTATATCTGACTACTTTATTGTGCGTCTATCCAGTTACAAACACCATCAGTATTGTAATCTTGTTATAGTAATTACTAGAAAAAATACTTAAAATAAAAGGAGTTTACAGGCAGACGCATTGACTCAAATCTCTTAAAAATATGAACTGTAAGAAATTGCTCTAATATTGATTTAAAAAATTAGTAGATATTGCATATTATTTAGGTAAACAGGATGTGGCAGAACTGATTATAAAAATAGATTTGTTACTAAAATATGTTATGACACAATTTTTGAAGATAACATTTTATTTGCCAAGTACGACATACTTACAATTGCTTCTAAAAATCGTATTCTTTCAGTAGTTTAAAGGTTTTTTTTGAATAAGTACCTATCAGGTACTACAGTTACAAAATGAAAAACAGAAAATGGATAATCCTAAATGCTCCTGCTTAAATAGTAATAACAGATTTAAAATTAAGGGTGGAGAATTTATTNAATGTCCCAGACCAAAACGTCGACAACAGACCAAAAGAAGTTGAAAATGAAAATTTTGAAAAAACATTAAAAAAAATTATTTTGGGTCGAACCTACAATTATTTTATCTTCATTAGTGTAATAACTTAAGAGTTATTGTTTATAAATAAATACGTGCCCACTATTTACTATTTACTGTTATCAAATAAGTGTATTACAAATTATAATTAGATAAATTAAAATTCAGTTTAATTATAATACCAAAATGATAGCAAATGTTACATATTTTAGTTCATAATTACATTTGTTATTAAACGGAATTGTAAATGTAATAAAACTTTAAAGTATTTATTTTGACAAGATTTTATTATTCGACATTAAGCAAATAATTTCAACAAAACATCTAACTAATGCCAGAAATGCATTTCTCCTTCAATTCACCTTGTTTATGTTCATCGTCAAACCCACTGCTGCCTGAACCTTATCTCTTCTTTTTTGTTGTAAGACGTTCACTTACGAGTTTTTGCTCGAATTTATCGTTTGTACCATACTGATCAGTAATGGCATCATCTATGAATTTATCCTTTTGAAATAGAACATTTCAGTCTAGTACTAATCGGTGTAACATATTATCGACATCAATAAAAAGAATCGGCAGAAAGACAGAATCTTTTAAAAGTGAACGCGAATAGTTTATGATATTTAATGACATTTATTAGTGATTATATTATCTACATAACTACGACATCGGAAATGAACTTTATTAAATAATTACGAAAAAAAATTGTCAAATTGCCTGATACAAAACCAAAGTTGTTGTGGTAAGTCTTTTTAATTTCATTTATGTTTTTATATGTAGTGAACTAACAGGTAGAATAAATAAATAAAAACAAATAATAACGTAAAATATGTATGTCCATCTTAAAAAATTCATACATTATATTATTATCTCAACGTCGAAACTTCTGGAACACTTATTCGGTATTAGATAATTATAAAAGGAAGTTTAAGTGTGATCCGCTTCATATACGTATGAGTTATACATCGTTGAATTGCTTATGAAGAGAGCTTCCGAATGAGCTATATCTCAATGATCGAGGATAAAGGGGAGAGAAGATACGATGGGGTTGGGGTTAATCTTTAACAGGTACTGTATAAATCAACCTCCGATGCAGTACCTATATGCCCCGCTTCATAGGCCGTCGAAAACTTAAAATAAGAGGTTTCGAATGAGTTGCATTTTAAGGTTAGGTTAGGCCAGGCCAGGCTAGGTTAGATTAGCTAACAATAGATACCCTTATATCATCCCTCCGCCTCATCTCCAACCATTGGGATACATGTCATTCAAAAGCTCTGATCATAAACTTGCCTAGGATGAATGATTCTAAAATAAATGAAGGAGAGTTTAGATATATTGGACCGGAAACCATCCGAAAGGTACTTACTGTGCCATATTGTGTATGTTACCGTTAAAGAAGGTAAAACGGTAAAATAACTACTGCATATATGTGTATGTTTAAATTTATTATAATGTAGAAATACATAAAAAAATCTATTTTTATATACATTTTAAATATTTACAACAATTTCTTGAATATTAAATAAGGCTTTAGATTAAACGAGTAACAAAATTTCCTGTTATTAAAACAGCTACCTATCAATCAGTGCCACAAATTAGTAGATGAATGATTGAATCGCAATGCTTCTCGGAGAAAATAATAAGATAATAACTTAATAACAATTACACACAAGTGTTTGAAATGGACACTTGAAATATTAAGGTCGCTTCTTTCTTTACAATTAGTTTGAAAACATATTACCGTTGACCTAGCTGCATAAAAAGAAATGACTGAAATGGCCAAACAAAAAGGTAAATTTTTAAAGATTTTTAAAAGTTACACTTTCTCTGAAAAACTGTCCACAGCGAGTAACTATCAATTGTGTGATGTTCAAAAGCACACATTTCTTTACTTCATATTCCTTTGGAAAGAGTTGTTATTATTATATTACATAACTATTTCACTTCAGCATCCGAATACTTCAATCATTTAGTTCGTAGTGTTGTCTCTGTTCTTAAGATTTTTGCCAAATATTCTTCTACTACCTCGAAATAGAATTAATAGTTTCGCGTATCCAATCTGCGTTTGATGTTATCTTGTCATACATCCTAGGTCTTCCCATGGAACATCCAATTCTCCAATTCGTTACGCCCACTAAAGCCCATCGGGCACTAGAGAGGAGGCAAAGCATGGGACTTCCGGCATATTCTTCCTCCTATGAAAGAAATTATGCATGTCGAGTTAAAGTCTAAAAATATGGTTGAATATTCTTCTTTTGCATTTTTTTACGGTTGAGGTCCGTTATTCGTCCATGTGTTTATACATATTTAGTCAATAATAATAGTAAATAAATATGAGACTCAAAGAACCCCTAAACCCAAAGTCGATTTTCTCTTCCTTTGAAGATGCTACATGCATTGGCGAAATATGTGTGGAAGTTTTTAATTTTTTCAAAAGTAATTTTTTTTCTTGTTTTCTTTTTCTTCATTAATTTGCTTAGGACAATTTATAATGTGTATTAAAGTCATGGTTGAATCGAATTCACAGGATGTTTGTTTAACACAAGACTAGCGTACTTAAAAAGACAAAGTATAGGGTACTATTATTCGGTTGGATTAACGTGCTAACGAATCCGATTAAGTTGTCCAATTGTATCACAAAGGTTTCACTTTAGATTTTGTATCCGTTTTACGATGTACAATTTTTTTTCGTAGATCTGACAGGATATTGGTGTTGTTCACAATAAATAATTATGTCTTTGTTTTCGACTTTCAAGCAAAACGAAAACTTACATTTTATCACTTAATTACCTCAAACGGTAAGCGCCTTGTTGAGACAGATTGAAAACCGATTTTTATCTGGATTGGTTGTATAATTAAAAAATTAATTAAGCAATGAATATAAGTATTAAGTATCATGTATACCACCTCGAGTCACAGAGAAATAGTTATTGGTGTAACATTGGAATATTAGCAGTTATTAATGTTTTTGTTGTTTGATATGTTCAGGTACCTAAGTAAATTTCTGGCAAATTTTTAAAATAAACTGCGTGCAAATCTAAAATACCTCCTTGAATTCAAGTAGTTATGTACGTAAAGGTCTTCAATACTCATAGTCCAGTCGATAGAGACTCCGGGCGGGAGTTGTATATCCCTGTATATTTTTAAACTTCGAAGAAGTGTGTGTTAACAAATGGGGGAAGTCTAAAATTGGCAAAAACCAGGTTTTTAGATCTAGAAGGCAAGGTAATTTTTACAATAAACAATCAATATAAAAGAAATTGGAATTTTTGACGACTTTTTGAGATTTGCGCAATAACTAATTGATAAAATTAATCGTACCGCAGCTCAAATTAAAGGTTTTTAATTTCTCTACAATTTTTAATTGAAACTTTTCTTTCTAAAAGGCATAACCTGCCTTCTAGATCTAAAAACCTAGTTTTTAATAACTTTGGACCTTCCCGATTTGTTAACGCACACTTTCTTGAAGTTTAAAAATATACAAGGATGCTTAACTTTTCCCAGTCTACAACAAGGAACAAGGAACTCCTGTCCGGTAACAAATTTATATCTGGAAAATTCTCTATTGACTGGACTATCATAATTACAATTGACGAAAAACGCAGTTTTTCTGCAATACTTACACTGCAATCGTTTTCGCCGTAGACTGCTCCAGTGCATAAGCTGTTAGCAGTAGAAATGCTGACATTTTCGCATTTGTCCATGTTGGCTACTTGGATTTGTACCCTTTGTAATTGTCCCCTCATTCTCGACCATCCCAGAGCGTTACAATAGGTCGCGTTACTTAACAAAAACTCTTTGTCATCTTCCGGTAGACATACCGGTCTGACAAAGTCTGTCAGAGCTACCGGATATTCCAATTTGACCATGGCAATAGTACTACCTTCGACGGGTGACTTTACCATCCCAACAATCCTTCGTTCTTGTTGCCACGGGGATGAACTCGTGATACGTATCGTTCCTAAACGCACGGACCATTCTGCCTTTGGTTGGCCTTGGAAGCAGGAAGCTGTCGTGATGACCCAATCTGGAGAGACCAAAGTTCCGTCGCAAACGTGAACGTCTTGTTTGAACAGGGCTGTATGCCAAGGCCAATCCCCGTAAGATGACATTTTTGATAAACCGTTTATTCCCGCAGATGGCGGTCTGGTTGTTTGAATTCCGCAAACTTTATAGAAAGAAATTTGTTATAAAAGGATATTCCCGTATCGAAAAATACAAGTTTTATTCAAGAAATTCGATATAATAACTGCAAACATTAGCGATTTTCAAAAATATGATTAGATAGGAAAGGGAAAGAGCGCGTACATATGATTCGTACATTTAGAAAAAGCTTTTGACAATGTTAAATGGAACAGTATGTTACATAGACGTACTTGATAATGTAAGGATGAGTTACAGAGACTGAAGAGTGATATATAGTTTGTATAGAGAGTAACAAGCATTTATAGAACTGAAACAGTAACGTAGGGAAGTAAATATGGTAGGAAGGAAGTCAGATAAGGATGCACAGGGTCACTGCTACTTCTTTATTTATATATCGAATAATAAGCATTATTAAAAGACAGGACAACTTTAAAAATATTGGTATGCATGGGAATGAGCGAATATAAATACAAGAGACGAAAAATTAGAAAAGTTGCTGATGGAAAGGAAAAGGTTAGAAACGTTCAAAATGTGGTGTTACAGGCGAATGATGACGATACCGTGGATAGAGAAGATTAGAAATGAGGAGGTATTAGAAAGAATAGGAGAACAGAGGACTCTATGGAAGTCAATATAAAATAGGCGAGATAGGTTGGTAGGACACCTTCTGAGGCATGAAGGTCTAGTCAGAGACATATTAGAGGCAGAAACAGGAGTTAGGAGGAGTAGGTGTAGTCCTAGATTAGATTACTGATCATAAATAGTTAAGGATTTTAAGGGGTTTTAGAAAAATGCGAAGATTAGTTCAGGGTAGGAAAGTGTGGAGATGCGTGCTCAACCAGTCTTAGGACTGACAACCCTCTGCGATGATTATAAATACGTTATATGAAGGTAGTATGCTCAACAACTAGAAACATTTCGACCTTGAAAGCACGCTCTTAATGAGACAAATATCAATCCCTTTTATTCCAGAGTAGGGTTGTATCGTTTACAAATCGATTGAATGAAAGTTCAATTAATGGCTCCTTATAAGGAATTGATTACTTACGCTAGTACATAATAGATTTGGCATTTACTGTATATGAAGTTCTATCACGTACTAGCCTTTAGCATTTAAGTAGTTGTATCAATTGTAGTTGAAATACGTCGACGAGTGCTTTGGTACTGTACCTAATGTGTTGTGTAATATTTAGTTAAGTACTTCTAGGTTCTGAAGTTTAAATTATCTTATAATAAGAATACCTCCTTATACATATTATGTGGGGAAATTTTTTGAAGTGAGCATGTTGAAAAAGTAGCTACACAATATTTTTAGAAGGTTCTGACTTTACAACTTTCGAATAGAAACTTAGTCTCACATTTGAGATCAAAATGAATTTGGCAATGTTATAGATTATGGAATCATAGAATTTTGTTCTTACCTATATCAGAGCATTCGACTTTTAAAACTTGTTTACTGGGGCATTCACTTCTAACGAAATTAATTTGAGATCCTTTAGGTTCCTTAATGACAACATATGGCACGTTGGGTTCTTGATCTATCTCGACGCTCACTGATAATAATTTCCTTACAAAAAACGAAACAATTAGGCTGTTCAAAGCAAATAATGTATAAATAAAAGTCAGTAAAATTATAAAATGACAGCATTTAGTGCGGGCCTACACATTTTATAGTCCTTGATCCAGTTAACATTTAATTTTGTGAAGTGACTGGGAAATTGTAACAAGTTGTACTTTATTTAGAACATTGGGACATTTAATTATATATGTATAAAGTAGTAGTAGACGTACTTGAATGTCAGGGTTTTGCATAAAGATGCAGCAACGGTGTGCAATACCTCGGAGGTTTCGTTTTCGCCAAGCTTCATACCGGGCGGCGTTTCCGCGCAAAGTTTGCCCACTTGTCCTTTTTCGTTGAAAGTCACGAATCCTTCGGAATGATAGCGGGGAAGGTGTGGCGTCACGATGTTGGCCGACGTCACGTTTGCCACGCTAGGCGCTAGGCTCACTGCGATGCAGAAGACGGAAAACAATATAAACGAAAAAAATTAAAAATGAAAGTCACGTTACGCTACAAAGCATAACTAAAGTATAGTAATAATAATAATTATTATTATTATTGTTATAATTGCAAGAAACGGTTTTCGATTTCGTTGATCAACGACCTCAAACAAAAGTCGACATGTGTCAAAATGTTTGTTTGATTGTTTTGTAACCCTTTGTGTAAGTTTTACTGAAATGACAGCGTGATTTTTACAAAATTTTTAAGTTCATTGAACTGCAAATGTTATAATTTGAACGTTGTCTGTATTAATATTTTTTAAGTGTCGATTTGATGTAATGCTCAAAATGAATTGATTAACGATTTTTTTTTAATTTCAAGCTGCACATTTTTTGATCTACCTAAATGAACAAAATTGTATACCATTCTCTCTCTTTTTTATTTCCGTAATTTGCAATTCGAAAATGTACAACAATTCACACAGGTAGAGTACAGTAAATACTACAAGAAAAATGCCTCTGGAATTTTTATAATAGACCTACACCATGAACATCAAGAACAAATATTGACTACCATTCAAAATAATATTGTCGTTTTTATTTTAGTATTTAGAAATTGTAATATTTCGGTATTGTTTAAGTATATATGAATCTCTCTTTCAAACAGCGAGATTTCATTCTTTTATGTAGTTTTCTCATTAACCTAGGTGCATTAGATGCCTTAATAACTATCGCGTTTTCAAAATTCGCCCCTGCTGTTATATATATATCATTAATCAGGCTAGCGTTGTTCTGATCGAGGAAATAAGGCACTAAACTTTCAAATTTTGTGCAGCAGGTCGGATCGAGATGCGGTTTTCTGCATACAATTCGTCAGACCGTCTACAAACTTTGTGAATATAAGAGATCAATTCATTTTCAAAAATGCATAAGTGCATAAGAAAAATGCAATATTTAAATCCATTGCAAAGTTGCTATATAAATAAAAAAAAATTGGTCAATAATGACATAACAAGTCCAATTTTGTTACTCGGAAATTCTGATTTTGAAGATTAAGGAATATGCAGTCGGCGATTGTTTCCGAGGTACGTAGGACTCAGAGCGACCATCATACGCGTCGTCTCCAGGAGTTATGTTTTAAATTCCTTAAAAATCAATCGAAATTATTTACCCGGGGGTTTTAAAGACCGCTGAACACGAAAGTATAACTGGCGACGACCTCCGAGGTATTTTGGGTCCGATGATCAGTAACTTCTTTATCTATTAANTCTAAGAAACACTTCAAACCGTTTTACTTCCTAGAACAGAACTTCATTCCAGAAAATAACTTAACCGGATAATTTACTGCAAGTTCTTACGGAATTACGGAGATAAGTATCTGATTTCTGGTGTGCGGTTTCTAGGTAAGAATTAAATAAAATAAAAATAAAAAAAAAAACAGAAGAATGAGGAATAAAAATGATTTGAAGAAATACGTACAGCAACCTCTTTCGTCACTGCCGTCGGGGCATTGCACTCTTCCATCGCATCTTTTCGAAGGATGAATGCAGACACGACCGACACCGCAATGAACATGGTCACTAGGGCAGTAAGAACACGAGAATTCATCTGACAAATCCTGACAATCTATTACTCCATCGCAGATCCTCGGTGATAAGGCGCGAGATTGCATCTCTTGTACGCAATCTGTGACAAAAAATATTCAGTGTATTATACCGATGTTATCGGCACATTGGTTTAATTATGATCTTCACTTATCACCCATTGCATTGCCTACAAAACCATTTAACTGCTAAGGATTCTAAATTTGCACCACCAATGGCAGAGGTTTCAGATTATTCATTAATTACGGGAAAACCCTGAGAATAAGAATATCCCAGGCCAAAACGTCGACAAAAGACCAAATGGAAATGAAAATTTTGAATAAACACATTAAAAAAAATAATTATTTTGGGTCGAACCTACAATTATTTTATTTTCATTAGTGTAATAACTTAAGAGAAGAACAAGAAGAATTTTATTGAGCAATTAAATTGGGCTTATTAATGATTAATTATTAAATAATTAATAACGAAAATAGATAAGTACTAATAATAATTTTGACTCTATTAATTATGTTTTATGCAATGTTGTGTGCATTTATTTAATCAAATAGATTATAGACGAAATTATTGCCAATAATTACAAGGACTGGTTTTGGCGGTGTTGTACAGCACTAGAAAGTTCAACCCCAACACCATACCACGCCACCGAAGGTCCGGAGTATTTTTCGATAACATCAGGGACTAATCTCTTCATGAACCATGGGTGCCTATTTTGCCCAACATTGGCTAAAATGTACGGACGATATTTTTCTTGTTTTTGATTTAAACTCTCATAATAATTGTCGAAGTAAAAAATGGTGTCAAGCTATAATTTTCGGATACATCGGTACAAAAAAATAGGAATTCTTTAGAATTCGATATCTGTAGAAAACCCAAAAACACTTCCATATATATAACTAAAGACTCTTATCATTGTAGATAATATAAAATGACCAATTTTAATTACCTTATGCGAAGGTTTCTCAGTTTTGCACCAAACAGAGATAGGTAATACCATAACGAACTTCGCGCAATTAAAAATATTGTCAAAAAAAGTGACTAAAATTGTAATATTATTGATAAAATACTCAGTAAAATATAATTTAAGAATCTCATTGCAAGATTTTCAACTTTTCGAGAAGACAGCATCAAAATCAATGTTATTGCAATGTCACATTTTGCGTAAGATTGTTTGAAACTCTTTTCGGTGACGCTAAAGATGAAATTCCTTTGTAAAAAATATATTGGAAAAACTAAACACTTTTGTTAGATTCAAAGAATATTTGTTCACGTCAGGTTTGGTAGAACTGAAAAATCTAGTAGGTACTGCCCAACATATTTTTGCTGAAAACCATAGGATCAATATCGACAATCTTAAATTAGTTAAGAAAATTAGAAATAATAACTTGCTTGATAATTTTGGTATGCTTAAATAAAGAAGCCGATTAAGTACAAGGATCCTTTCCCTAATTCTCGACTGTTCAGTCTAATTTTAATCTTTTCTAAGGTCCACCGAATATTACAGTTGACATATCGAGTTATGGTCACTGGACCATAATAATGTTTACCTTACCTTTGGTCTTTAGTCCACTTCAGTCCCTGAAGAATCTGACTTTGTTATAGTAAAGTACTTCGAACGTTCAGTGTCGTGTTTTGACATTAGGGTTTGAGTTTTATTTGGCATTCAAAAATACCATTACTTAATAAAATTCCATTCTGCTTCTCAAAATAAGAAACACATCACTTTGTTGTATAGCATGGCACCTCTTATAAAATAAATTAAGAATGATTTCAGTAGATGTAGATTTTATTAGTTTACTATTTACAATGGCGTAAAATATCAGATTAAAGAATGAGA